ACTACACTAACTTGCTATTGAGTTCGTCATTATGAGTTCGACTAACATATCTTAAATTCTAAGACGTGATAAATTGCTGAGTTGATTCAAATATAACGGATACCTGTAGGACTTAGAGAAAATCCTAAGGTCGGAAACTCCAACGTGTAGAATCAGCTGCTGCAGCCTTTCAACTTAGACGTTAAGATAAACGAAAACGAACCCGGTGACAATATATAGAATAATAATAAGTAATCCTAAAGTATCTTATTATAAGAATATTAAATTCAATCACATAACTTTAGAAAAATTTCTAGTGTGAAATTATTTTCACCTGAAAAAAGCATTGTAATCATTTTTAAGGATATATGTATTACTTCTAAGTCTATCTAAAATTAAATTATACTATTTTTTATATATAGATGATATCAGAATATTTCTCTATACTATATTATTCAGAAGTACTATTATATATCAATTATTATTCGTAAGAATATTTTCTTTCTAATAATATATAATAGAAAAAGCAGTCCTCAAGGAGGATCTTGGACAATTATATTTAATCTGGTATGTATAAAATGAGATAAATTTTAAAAAAAAATTTTAAAAAGTGGTATGTAAAAAATGAGTTTTTTAGAAAAATGTGAGGGTAAAAAAGGTAACAAAAAAAATAGTGGTAGGATTTTTTATGGTTAAATTTTCGTGATTTTTAAGGTGGTATATTATTAATTAGATAAATTTTCACATTATATATGGTAGATCATTTATTGCATTTATTGTAATTAGTCAATTTATTACAATACATAAAAATTCAATTGTTATCATGTTGTCATATTAATAAAGTGAAAAGAAAAAAAAAATTAAAAATTTTTTGTTTAACATGACAACATATATAATTTGTTTTACATAAAAAAAATATTTTGTTAATAAAATAAAACATACAGAAATAACACTTTTAAAACATCCAAAAGTTAGAAAAGTTATTGATCCAAAAACTGTAATATGTATATGTAGTAAAAAATTTCGCCTTGATAGAAACTATGATCCAGATCTTCTTGACCGTCACATTAAAAAAAAAATATGTAAAAGTAATGATGGAAACTCTCAAATTACACAATTTTTTTCAGAACAAAATTCAGAAGCTTCAAAAAAAAGAATACTTTTTATTGGATTAAATGATGAAAAAGTTAAACTATATCTCTGTCGTGTTGGTTTTGTGATCACATTTGGTGGTACACCACCTCCAGAAGTTGTAGCATGAGAATTATTTAGTGACAAAATTAAATCATCGTTTCATTGGAAAGATTTAAACAAAAAAGAAAATGATCAACTTTTAGATACTTTACGATTACAAACCAAGTGGATAAATGATAGCATAACTTTTTGCGTTAGAAGTACCAAATGTTTAACATATGTTAATGGAATTAACGAAATTTGTAGGCAATGACTTGATTTGAAAAAATTAAAGGTTTTTCTGGTAATTAAATTTTTTTATAAATTATGCTTATAATATATATTTATTAATAATTTATTATTAAATAGAATACGATTAATAACCAATTCCTAAAGAAAAAAACCAGAAATACACACTTTTAGTTCTTTATAAAAATTCTCCATTTTATCAATATTGTAAAAATACAAATGTCATGGAATTGTTAGGTTACTTTAATGATCCAGAAGATTGTACTCCCAAATTTTGAAATCAACTAGCAAGAATGAGACGAGCCGATGCCTTTAAAGATAAACAAATTTTTTTTGGATTATGTGAAATTTTTGTGAAAATGACAAATCATATTAATGAAGAAAAAGGACTTCAAAATATTAGATATCCCGAATAATTTTCCAATTTTTTAACTATTTTAGCAAGTAGTAGTCCATAAACATATACTATTTTTCAAAAAAATCTTGCAGGAAGAACAATTCGAAAAATTCGGTAAATAATTTATTATATATATATCATGAAATTTTAACTTTAATTTATTTTAATTTAGTATACAACGTGCTCAATCAGATTTAGCAATTGATGATCTGTCAATATGTTTTAAAAATATGGCTAAATTTAGAAAATTTCTAATTAGCATTAACTATGACGAACCAATTGCAGCATCAACAGATAATACAAAACTTGAAGAAAAATTACGTTACTCTGTAAGCTTGGGCACAATTCTTGGGTCTACATTGCCATTACAAGAAACTTCAGTATCTTCTTATAACAAAATTGATACTATTGTAAAAAAGATTTAAACTAATAATACAATAGCTAAATATGTTCATGTATACATTTTATAAGTTTCAGTTCCTAAAGTACTACCATTTGTACTTAGAATTATTTCAAATAATAGCGAAAATATATCTGATATATATGAAATTCACAATCAAGTTTTAGAACTTGCCGCACATTTTAAAATTCATATATTATCAATTGAAGCTGATAGCACATCAGTAGAAATTAAAGCACAAAAATGTATTATGCAAATTAATACTGAAACAAATCTTGAATTTACTGACGAATTATACAGTATGTAATTTATTTATTTATGTAATAAATTCTTTGTCTTTATTATTAATGACTTTTTATCTAGATATCAAATTACATTGTCCTGTAATTCTGAATATTGGTCCTATTATTTGTATTTCAGATCTGAAGCATGCAAAAAAAAATGGGCAAAATAGTATTTTTAGTGGCGCTCGAATGCTAACTTTTGGAAATAGTTTCTTGAGTTTTGATCATGTGTTAGAATTGTCTAAATCACCAAACTCTGCTTTGTATTATGCGAATGTTTTAAATGTTGATAAATAAGACGATGAAGCTGCATATCGGCTTTTTTCTCACGAATTTTTATACGAAGTATCTAAAACTTTAAATTCTGATTCTAAAAACAAGGGATTATTGATTTATTTGTTCATTATTGGTAAGTTAAAATTAATTTATTTATGTTTAATTTTGTAACAAAAATTAATTTATTAATTATTAAATTATTATTATTTTATTATTTTGAAAGAAGAGTTGATAAATTCATATTTTAATCGAGATGTTTCTAATCATAAAAGAATCAAAATAGTTATGATGAATAGTTTTTTTCTAAAAATGTGAAAACAATTTATTCAAGATGTAGCAAATAAATATAAAGGAATTTTTTCAAATGATTATAATTTTTTAGTACATCAAACTTATAAAATATTGTCTTTTCTTATTGATTCAATGGTAATAGTATTATATATACAACTTTAAATTATTTATTATTAAATTAGATAAATAATAATAATAATTTTATTATTACAGATTCTACTTATTATAACATATTGAGAATACTATAATTTAATTTCATTATTACCTTAGATGCATGGTAGTGAAGCATGTGAATACTTTTTTAGAATAACTCAGCAACATTTACCAGATTTTACATGTGCTGATTTAATATATTTAATTCGTCATGTTACAAATGCCTACTATAATTTTACAATTGTTAATTCAAATTCAGAATATAAAACTTCTCAAGTTGGTTAATTTATTTAATAATTTTAGTATTTTATTATAATTAATATCTAATTTTTATATTAAAAAATTTCAATAGATTATATTTGTGATTATTTTGAAGGAAATGTCAACGATCTAAATTCAAATTTAAAAATTTGGTCTACAGATGATGAAATCAGAGTTCTTATTAATGATGCATATAAAGAAACAAATGCTTTAACAAAGTGTGTTTTTATGGTAGTTACATTAAATTCTGAATTATTATTGTCATCTCCAACTGATTTCTTAACAAGTAACGAAATAATACTACTGATTGAAGAAAATTTAATAAAAGAATTTCAAGATGAAGAGAAGATTTTAACAGAAATTGTTGAAATGATAGGAAATGTTGCAAGTTTGAATTTACGAAATGATATAGATGAAAATTTGATATATGCTTATGAGCAGATAACAAATTTATCTAATAATACAAATTTGAAACAAATTCACAATAATAATATTAATATATTAAATAATAATGGCGATATAATTTTGATTTACTACATCAACGCTGAAAATATCACAAAGCTTATACTTTAAAAAAATGATTTGATCACAATTTCAAGAAAGAGATCACTATAATTCATCGGGAATTAATCCATCTATTGCTAGCAAAATGGTTGCATAAATTACTAATAATAATAATAATTCAAGGTTACCTAAAGCATGATTAAAACGATGGGATATTAGAAAAAGATTTGAAAATGTTAATGAAATGTTAAAAAATTCGCGAGAATTACAATTACCAAATTACAGTAAGTATAATTAATAAATTAACTTTATTGATTTTTACTAATAATTAATTAAATATTTTATAGTTTTAGATTGTGTTCCTTCAATTTATACAGCAAATATTTCTTCAATTTATCCAGTACAAAAGGGAGGATTTGCATTGGCATTAATTAATAGGGAAATATGTCTTGTATAAATTCTTGCAATTTATTATCGTACATCAACTGGAAATAACCATTCATATACCGAAGAACCTGTAAATAAAGTTAATCTAATCACATTTGTATCTACCAAAGTGTTTAGGAATTTGCAGCATAATTTGTTTTATTCAAAATGTGATAAAAGGTATGAATATTTTTGTCATTTATCATCCAAACAGATACTTTATTATTTGGGATATCAAATAGAAAAATCACATACAGATATGTATTCATTACAACCTAATGCATATCAGATTTATCAAACACTTTCTAATGATAACATTTTAACTTGTATTTTGCATTGCCTAAATCAAAAAGGAAAAAATAAATAAAATATTTTTTTATTAATCTGATATGTAAAAGTTCGGGTAAATTTTTAAATTTTTACATGTAGTATGTATAAAAGTGGGTACAAAATCAAAAAATTTTTGGGATAAAATTTTCCAAGTTTTATCATTTTTTTTCCTCCACATTTTATATAATTGTCTAGGGTTCTCTTCAAGGTGTATCCAAGATAGTTAGGTGATATACTGATGATATAAAGGATGCATCTATAATTATTAAAACTATTTCTATAAAAGTAAGTTTGTTGTATTTAATCTCAGTAGATCAGAGAATAATTCTCTTGTAATTCAGCTAAGATTTAACATTTTATTAAACCTTTAGAAAGAAATAGAAGTGAAGCAGAAATGTAAAGAAAAAAAATGTCTAAATTAATTCATAATTTCATTTAGAATGTATTATTTTTATAAATAAATAGAATCCAATTTTATAAATATTAGCTTATTTTCTACCCTTACATCTGCAACTTCAGATTCTTAACTTCATATTACAACTTCTTATTTGTATTAATACGATCTCTATATTTCTTTTCTATATCTCATATAAATTTCTTGAAAGTTCTTTTATTTATAATTAAATAGATATTATGATAATATTTAAGCTTATTTATGACTGGTGATTATTTTCTTTCTCATACTTATGTTTTAGTACCTGATTCAAAGAATTTCTCTAGTTTAATCTAATAATACTATCAGTCTAAAAATTATTATTTGTAACATATATACTTAGCAATTTTAGAAATATATTATATTATAGTTAGCTTCAAGAACGTAATAATTTTTCTAAGTTATTTTTTTTGTATTTCTTATTTAATGAATTCTTATAAATTTCTAATTTATGTCTTAGATATAATTCAATTTAATCAGACATCCCAGAAATAATTTCTAATGAAACAGAATTTTTAGAGTATATCCTTTTAATCAGACTATTTAAAAAAGTAAGTTTATATTCATTTTATTAATTATAGTTATAATTTTACGTAAAAAAGTTTGCAATGCAAAAATTATACCTATAGTGAAATTATTATATTAAAACTTTTATTTTAATATTAATTCTAATCAAGAAAAAATCATGTGATTTTAGATGACCTGTTATCACTAAAATTTTGTAAAAAAAAATTTTTTATTAATATATGATCACATTTTTTATGATATAGATAATAAATTTTTTATTAATTTATTTTGCAATTGCTTATCTTCTAATTTTACAATTTTGGGCTTATGCTTAATATTTTTGGCCTTAATTTTATTATTATTAGTCTTAAGTTTAGTAATATGTTATTTCAACAATCTATTTTAAATTGCATACTTATGTAATATATATTAGTATATTAATATTTAAAATAAAAAATTAGGTTATTTTCTTAATAGTCTATAAGCGAAAATTTACTAAGAAAATTTTATTAATATGCAATGTATATTTGTGAAATTAACTACTAAGATTAGTTTTATTATATTACAAAAATAAAATACAAATATAAAAGGATTAGCTCATTTATAATTTCACAAAACTGACTAGTATCTTTCTGAAATCTGACACCTATTCTCATATTTAAACTTCTTATTGTATTAGAAATGAATTACATTTAATTTCTTTTCTAAAGTATTTTATATAGTAAATATAGATTAATTACAACAAAATCTTCATAAAAAAAATATACAATTTAGATTTCTTGAAAGTGAAGTTGCTCAGTATACTTGAATATTTGCTTAAAATTCCTATTAATTTTGAAATTAATGCTATTGTCAGAAATTTAAGAAGAGCTTTCAGTTAGGAACTATTAGATTTTTTTAGTTAAGTCATAATAGAAGTAATAATAATCACTATTATTTCAAATTTTATTTGAGATGTCACTGAGTAGTAATTTCAAAACTATAAAACTTTCTTAACCAATTTGTATAAAAGTTTTTTTTTCTTATTACTAATCTTTTTCTATATTCTGATTCTAAGAAAATATCTATTTCTCTATTCTTCAGTAACTTCTACTCACTTACATTTGAAAGTGAAAAATTGATATTATATTAGTCACTAGATATACTAATAGCTGATATCTTTGGTATCACTTTTATAGGGAAAATATTTTCAATAGAACACACATCCTACACTTTAATAATAACTTATACTTATTATTTACTCAGTATCATATTTTAATTTTGCTACTTTAGTCTTAAGCTTAGCATTTTCATATTACGCTTTGCATTTTTCTCAATAATCTATCTCAATTTCGCATTTTCAGCCTTATCCTTAACAAAATTTAGTAACTTCTCTTTAAGTTTAGGAATCTCAGCATTCTTCTTTCTAAGCTCTACAATCTCAGCTAAGAGTTTGACATTTAATTCTCTCAATAAATCAGTGAATTGCATATTAAATAATAATTTTTTATATGAGAATAATTCAAAAGTTTATTAATATAAGTAAAAGATGAGGTAATATCCTTATTAGAATTGCTGATTTATTGATATAAAAAATAAATTACAAGTTTTAGTATTACATAAACTTGTTTTACAATGTGAAATGGTATTTCTATACTAATGCCTGTTAGTTTCTACTTATCTATACTACTAATACATATTATCCAATTCCATGATCATTTTCATTATTTTAACTATCAATATTCTTAATAAAACAAAAATGATTATCAGTTATACTTGTATGCAGTATCAGAAAATAAATCAATGAATAATAATATTAATATTACACTAAAATTTTATATTATTTGCAATCTGTAATACTTCAGAAATTTGTATGAAAAAATATCATTTGTTTGCAAGTCTTAGAATTATTCTTCTATAAAGTCACAACCTAAAAAATATATTTTATTCATATCTTGATTGCAGAGTGTCTAAAGAATAAAAAATTTTAGGTCTAGAACTTTAGGATTTAGTCTTTGATCTCAGTCTTGATAAGACCTAATCCTAATTTTTAGGACTTAATTTAGATAGTTCCAATTTGGTCTTTATATAAATTTTAATAAATAATATAAATTAAAGTTTAATATTTATATATTGTAATTAATTATAATCATATGAAATATATATATCAATTAGATATTAATTAAATATCATATATCATATTATTTTATTATCAAATTTTATGTTTTATATTATAAAATTTTTTAGCAAAAATAGCTTATTTGAACTATGATTTTAAAGATTTGAATGATATACAATAATGAATTTAATAATATGAAAACCAGTGTATAAAATTTAGACCAAAATTTATGTGCATAAGTTGTACTAAAAATAGAAATTAATGTATGTATTACATAGTATTTTCATTTTTATTAATAATTTATCTATTTTAGTAATTATTTGTGCATATTTTATATTATTAACATGTGCACACAAAAATTTAATATGCATATATGCATATTATGCACATAAATTTTATACACTAATGGAAATAAATAGCAATTTAATCCAAGTGTTGGTAAAATATACCTGTTAGCTAAATGATTGTTAGTTTAATAATTATCAGTAAAATAATTATTAATAAGTTAAATGTGACTCTTTTCAACATGATGAAGTACAGATTCTTTAACCAATTTTATAGTTTCATATTTCAAGAAATATATATGTTATCACTGGTTCATTTTCAGTTATCTTAATATCTAAGTTGAAAAGCTGCAGCAGCTGATTTTACATGTTAGAGTTTCTGACCTTAGGATTTTCTCTAAGTCTTATAGGTATCCGTTATACTTGAATCAACTCAGCAATTTATCATGTCTTAGAATTTAAGATATGTTAGTCAAACTCGTAATGACAAACTCAATAGCAAGTTAGTGTAGGGTATCATAACAATCCTAGATGAAGGATAACATTGAAGGAAAAAGTAGTTTATGTAGATTTAAATTGATTTCTTTATTTATAACTTGAAACTCGCAAAAGAGTTAATTTACAACTTAAGCAAAAAGCTATTCTATTTATACAAAATGAATTTACTACAGCTAACTACTTGCTACACTATAAATTAACTAAATATAGATATATATTCCAATAAAAATATACTTAAATATAATAAAATAATAAAAATAATAAAAAGAAATAAATTAAATTATAGACATTAAAGAAATTACAGGCGAAACAGAATAAACAGAATAAACAGGTTGTATAGAAAATACAAAAAAAACAGATAAATTAGGTGAATTTTGCAAATCCTTCAAATTAATGCAATACATCGATCAAGATCTTCCTTAATATGATTTACATAAAATTAAATCTAATGACTTTGTAAATAATTTTTCTAGGGTAAATTTTCAACACTGACAATGTGAACAAAAAAAGTTGCATGTCATCCATCATATTTAAAATGATGATCATTGAATTGATAAAAAATACAAAAAAAAATGCACATTTTGAAAAAAATTGTATATTTCAAATATTCAAATGAAATTCTTGTAAGATTGCAATAAAGAATTTTTTTTTATTTTTTATTACATTGCAAAATATGGTAATTTTTTTATAATTATATGTATATCACGTGATATATATGTTCGATATACAAAACTTAAAAAAATGACGCAAATTAAAACTTGACATAGCAAAAAATGAAATATTTTATGCAATTTTGGCCCCTGACATTGGTCAAAAAATTGTTATTTTGACACATTCTCAAATTAAGACTATAGTGAAATTTTTGGTGTTAGTGACACAAATTTAAAAAATTTTCCCTGTGACCTATCTTATAAGTTTTCAGGGTCCTGCAACAACTATTGTACTTTGGAATTTTGAGTTTATTGTGATATTAAAGAGCGTGAATTGGATTGATAAAATACCATCTTTTCCTTTCGTAATTGAAGAAAGGAATCCATTATTCTCATTTAAAAGGATAGTAGCATCCAGAGCTCTATATTCATCACAGAATTTATTATTTTTGCATTTTCTTATATCTAGTGAATAGCGACAAATCTGCATATAGTTCTCAATTTACTCCCACGATATTGAAGATTCCAGATCATTAAACGGATGTCTCTTCTGGTCAACATATTTCACCATCACAGGTTTCTCATGTATGTCATCCCTTTTCCATATATTACATAGTTTTTTTCCCGAATATTCAAAATTCCGTCATGCTAATTCATCATTTACTACATTCCCTTGACTATTTAGATGTGATCTGAATTCCCCTACAGGTAGAGTGATGCCAGCAAGTTTTTCAAATAAGGAAACTATGCTACGTTCAACTAGATTATATGCACTTTGATCTAGAACATGAGTACGAACTATCAAGTAGTTTAGGTCAAGAGCACAGAAAAGATGAGCATATTGAATAATATTTTTCATATGCTTCAGGTTCTCATCAGGTCCACCATCAATAAGAAGGATCCAAATAGGTCTAACTTTGTCTTCTTTCTTTAAGGTAGTAGAAAACTCTTCATTCAAAACAATACTTTCTAAATCTGCTATATGAGTCTTTGATGAAGTTCCAATGAAATATTCTGGCCTAATGAATATAGAAAGCTGATCAGTACAAAGGGTATTACTTGAATCAGCTGAATTAATGACTAGATAAATAGAATGTATAAGTTTCATTTTTAAACCAATTGGAAAATCGTGATCTTTGATAGTTACTAGTTCATTAACTGACTGGATTGTTTTGAATATGCGACCAACTACAGGAATGCCTAATCTGACCTTTGCCTTATCATCTTGAGAGATGATAATTGACTCATCAGTAAAAACTTCAGCAAATACTCTTGTGGCTTTAACGGAAGCTAGACAAAAATGTTTATCAATATGAGATTTCATTTCTGTCTGTGATACAGAGGTAAGACCAACCTTTGCTGAATAATGATGATGATGTGCAGCAAAGGTGTGCTAATTTCAGGATTGAAGATAAGTTGACAAGCATTGATGAGATAGATAAGTATTATATTTTTCTTCTAGAGTTTCGCGTAAATGCTTTACAGTTTTAACTTTTATGACCACTTTTCTTCATTTAGTAAGGACAGCTCCAAACTCAATACTGTCATAGATTTTATCCCATAGATCTGGATCTTTCATAGCTGTAGATGGTCTTTCCAGAGTATCATATTTTTTACAATACCCTCTTCTAGCAACTTCTGTTTTTTTGCTGCTAACCTTGATTGAGTTTCAGCATGACGTTTTAACTTTGTTAGCTGTGCATTTTGTATTGATATATTTTTTTGTTCTTCAATTATCTTAGATGATAACGTAACTTTTATTGAGTCATTTGTAGTGATCTCCATCATTTGTTGATATTTAGCTATGCTTTTTGCAGCTAAATTGATCTTTTCAGCTACAATATATTGTGATTTGGCATTTGGTGATAATGTTGTAATGTCAATAAACCCGATAAACTATCTTGAAGTATTTGGAGTTCTTGGAGTGGAAGTTTGATGAAAGCTATTAGTCAAATCACATGGCATAAAAATTCTTTGATGAGAGCAAATAGTAGAAGGTATAATGTCATAATATTTTTGAATTTTATTCTCAATAAAGGTAGTATTATTATTTTTGACTTCTTTCCAAGCTTCTATACATTCTTTTATTATTATTTGACAATTTGGCTTATATTTACAAAGTGTTGCTTGTTTGTAATATACATATACATTGCAAAATTCTTGATATTTATCTTGGGACTGCTTATAAAAAAAGTTTTTATTAAAATTTTGTGCTTTCAAAAACTTTGCATATTGGTTTTAAAAAAAAAAGAATGTAAAGAAGAATGTAAGAACACGTTTTTGCATTTTTTTCTATGGATTTTTATACATATCACATTGCATTAATCATATAATAATTATTTATATTATATATTAAGGTAACAAATAGATCATATTTTAATTCTTTTATAAATTGATTTTAAAATAATAGTAAAAAAGGAACTTATATATCGAAAGATAAGTTTATTTATTAATTTTATTTTTATTTATTTGACTATTTACTATTTTACTTTTCAGTTACTTCTGATATCATATTTAATTATTCTAATTTAACTATTTTACTTTTGACATCATAGTATTTATATATAATTTTTTTAGCCAATCAAATTAATTATCAGGTGGAGAGTGGGAGTTGGCTCTATAATAAAGTGAAATCAGCTAATTTCTGACAGTCCTTAATACAGGATCAGGATTATTATTATTCATTATGAAGTCTAGTATAATCTCGTATTTGTTATTGAAGGTGTATACATTATGAATTAGATGAGCCATAATTTCTTCTTTTTTTTTACCTTCTTATACAATAAGTAATAGATTATAAAAATTATTTTTTTCTTTTTTTTGAAGATCTGAAAATAAATAATTTGTAATAAATTTTATAAAAATAAAATATTAATTTAAATTTAAGTAAAAATATATTCATTTTTTATTTTTATTTTTTACAATAGAATGTAATATTTTTGGGAATATTTATAAAAAATATCAAGAAATATATCTTGACCTTTAAAAATAAAGAACTTACTAAAGAGTTTGACATTTCAGAAGAAATAATATGTGATATTTTAAAAGAAAATAAAAGATGGTTAACTCTAAAATTAGATTCTTATAAAGCTTCACTTAAAAGATAATTAAACTAAGTTTTTTACAAATTGATAAAGCTTTAGACTTTTAGGTTAATAAAGTCATAGATAATAATATTACTATTGGTGACAAATTATTAGCACAAAAAGTATGTGATTTCACAATGTTACTTAATATATAGGATTTTAAAAGGTTTAATAGATAAATAATAAGTTTTAAAAAATGCCATAATCTTAAATGCTACATTAAATATGAAGAAACAGCAAGTACTCCTTTAGATTTAAATAATATGCATATGGATCTTCAAAATATTCTTAAAAAATATTCACCTGATGATATCTTTAATATATATAAAACTAGACTTTACTAGAGAATAGAGCTAAATCGTACTTTATCAACTGGTCCAGGTAATTTAAATATTGATTAATATAAAAATTAATATAAATAATTATATAAATAAAAGTAATACTTATCTTATAATAGTTATAAGTAAAAAATGATCTAAAGAGTATACTACTATTGCAGTGTATTGTAATGCTACAGAGACTGAAAAAACAAAAGCAATTTTTATTAGAAAAAGTCAAAATCCACGTGCCTTAAAACATATTTTAAAATCAACACTACTAGTATAATATTATTAGAATAAAACAACATATATGCAAGTTAGTATCTAGAATGATTGACTAAAACTCTTTAATTCACATCTGAAACTTCAAAATAGATATATAATTCTACTCTATGATGGTACATCCACTCACAAATTAAATGAAGATACTATACTTTCTAATATTTATCTTCACAAGTTGCCTCCTAATATAACTTCTTACCTCTAATCATGTGATACTGAGATTATTTATAACTTTAAGGTAAGTAACAAAAAAATCATTATAAATAATGATAAAAAAATAATATTAATAATATAATAAATATAGGCACAATATTAGAAGTTATTCTTGTGAAATTGTATTAAAGTATTTAATAATAGTTAAGAAACTATCAATCTATATCTAAAATTACAATAAAAAAGGCTATCAAATATGTAGCAAAAGCATAGAACTTAGTTTGACCTAAAGCTATTATAAATGGTTAGAGAAAAATTGGTATCCTTTCACAAAATACCAATGATGATGAAAGTATCAATAATAATTTTACTGATTTTGATTTTACCAATAATAATAAAAAGAAGGATATCAATCAAATACAAGATCTTATTGATTGATTAGTTCTTAATATATATGAAAATCTGATTTTTGCTAAAGAATATCTATAATATAAAAAAGATGAAACAAATCATCAGATAATGACTGATAAAGAAATTATAGAAATAATGAAAGAACTAGAAGAACTGAATATTGAAGAATCAGATATTCTTATTATCAGTAATTACAAAGTGCTAGCAGTACTTAATCAAATAATTACATATACAGTAGCGGTCATAAGTATCTGATCTCTTATAATTCTTAAAGTTAATTAATAATATCTATTAAATATTTTTTAAATTTAAGTTTAATACTAACCTTGATAATCTGTAAAATTATAGATTTATTTCATGTATAATTTAGAAGTTAAATGATCAGTAGATTTTATATTTTAAAAAAAATCACCTTTTTTTATGTAAATCATTTCATTTTTTATTATTTAATATCTAAACTTCTTAAATATATAGATTTTTTTTTAATATATTAATTTTTTAGGAGTTATAACACATTTTTTATAGAATTTTAAACAGATTAAACAGATATTTAGAAAACTTCAATAATACTGTATTCTTCCTTTTAATTTTTGAATAATGTTTGTATTTATTAACTTTTTGTCAAATTTACTCTAAGTTTTCTTTTCTAAAAAATTCACAGATATAAGCCAAAAGGTCACTTTTATAGAAATTATATGTAAAATTAATATTAGAGTTTGCTGAAAGAAAATTGATTATTAAATTACAAATCTAAAAAATCACTATAATATGGACTTTTTAGCAAATATTATAACTTTTGTTTATTACTAAAATTTAAATAATATTTTTAAATATAATAAACATTATAATTTTATTACAATAGATATAAAGTAGCTATATTTTTGAAATTCCATTTCAGTCATTATTGAAATTTATATAAAAAATTCTATTTTGTTTAATTTATTAAAAAATATTGGCATTTTATATGTAAAATTTATCTAATTTTTGATTTATATGTTGTATAAGCTTATAATTTTACATGTGATCAACATTGGTATTATACTTGAATTTTAAAAAATTTTAATAGGTGTTATTAATTAACTTTAAGAATTATGAGGAGTCAGATATTTATGACCGCTATTATATTATACATTATACCATTGGACCTAAGAAATGATACAATTGTTTCAATTGGATATCAATCAGCTATAAATAAGATAAGTTAAATTTTCATAGTATACTAATTGGCTATAAGTATGCAAATCAGTTATAAATAAAATAGGTCAAATTTTGGCTGATCCTTGGCTAATTTCTGATGTATGCCAATTGATTAGGCTGATTTTTGATAATTTTACTGATTTTAAGCTGATTTTAGGCTGATTTTTTATATGTCTGATTTTTTTGATTTTGACTAGTGATATATTTAATAAAAATTTTTCATTTAATTATATTTTTAATTATATAAACAATTAAAAGGATTAAAACAAATTTTAATAAAAAAGATTATGATAAAATGAGAAATAAAATTAAAAGAAGTATACAAAGTGATCAGATTTTTTAACACAAAAATGCAGTTATAAAAAGTGTTTATTATAGCTAAATTATATCATATTTTAAGTTTTGTTAAGAGTTTAATTTGATTGAGAATTTTAGGATTTAGTTAAATTAAATCAGTTTTATTATGATTACTTATAGACAGGATTACAATGAATAATTTCATTAGCTTTTTATTTCTGTTCTACTTATTACTATTAAAAAGCATTTATTATATAAATGTTTTATTTTATTATTCAGATTCTGATTCATTTTAATAATTAGTTAATTCTTAATAAATTGGTTTCATTTGATGTACTGATTTATTCATAATTTGAGCGAAAAAGTAAAAATTAGTATGCATTCTAAACTTTTACTTAATAGACCTTGTCAAAAAATTGAAGTTCGAATGATTGGTTAAAATAATAGACCAACAGAATTTTTTAGCCACTTTTTAATTGGTCGAAATAATTTTATAAAAATCAGATCTGATTTCAAATTTAATAAGTTGTATGCATCGTAGAAAAATACAGGCAAACCTTGAATGCTTCCACTCTAAAAGCACGCACTTTTTAATGCAAATTTTCACTATCCCAAGAAAAGCATTTAGAGAGTTGATTATATAAATGAAAAAAAATGTCCTTATTTTTATATTCAAACTTTAAGCAATATGTCTACCATTCAATAAACTTGACTTTCAAAATCTTTAAATGTTAAAGCAAAATGCTGTTCATTTTTTATATCAAATATCTAGCAAATTATAAAAATTTTGAAATTATACTTATTACTGGAATGACTGTTGTATTTTTTTAATTTCAATAAATTTTTAATTGTCCTAATATATTAAAGCTTTGATTTGATAACTTCAGCGAAGCTAATACAACGATAAGATAACGAAGAATTTGAAAATTTTAATTTGTATTCGCTGTAACAAAATATTTGGTTGGCTCAATGATGAAATGTTTTAATGTATAATGAAATGAAATTTAAAACAGAATACAATTTCATTTATCGCAAATGTTTGTGGCCAAGAATTTGGTGCGCCCAATGATTTTTGATTGAAATAATAAAAACATCTGGATCTCTTTATTTACTACTATATATAAAAAAATTAGATAGATTTGACTTGTATAAATTAAATCGTGTAACCCTGCATCTAATCGGGTGTGTCTTTTTGTCTCAGGGGGAATAAAGAGGGATCGATTGTAATAAAGGATGAAAGATCTTTTTTTCATAACAATAGATATCTCTAAGTCTAGGGAAAGAGAAAAGGTTAAAAATTCAAAAGAAAAGAAATCTTTGATAAATAATAAAGAACAAGTAAAATCCCCAATTCTAAAAAAAAGTAAATGAAATAAATGGATCTTCAAAACAAATTACCAATAAATTTATTTCTCAAGATATTATATTCCAATTATGGAAATGCTTCAAAAATCGGAATTATTTTGTGCGTTTATACACATCCATAAATAGATTCTACTGCATGCGTTTCACAATAATTTTTTTTTTCCTAAAGTTTGCGAATTGGAAGACTGGAAAGCTATACTGCTTTTTTATTAACACTCTTTTATCAGCAAATATAAAATTATCACTTTCTTTTTTTACTCTTTCATAAATAGCGACCATAGCATATTCTTTTACTTTTGCCGTGATATTTTATTAAGTTAATCATATTTTTATTACAATGGAATTGTTTGAGCCAACAAGGAAATACGAAATAGATATTGTAAGTTCTGATAATTAACAAGTTCTTTCATTTTTGTCTCTTATTCATATATTAAAACTAACCATTAACTAATTTAGTCGTCATACACCTTACACTCTCCACTTTCACCTCAATCACCACATACACCGCCACTGAGTCCACCTTCACCTTATCAAGACTCTCATGCCTTTAATTCAAAACAAATCGATAAGCCAAAAGCTAATAATCCTCTAGTTGATCTAATCGAAACCGAAAAAATATATGTTTCAGATTTAAAATGTCTGTTACAAGTAAGTCAATGTTCAAACTAAATATTATATTAAACCAATCTTTCTTTATCTGACATTAGTAAATTTATAGCAAGTTACAGCAAGTTGGAGTAGAGATAATCTCCCCCCACTAGAGTTGGATTTAATGTTTCGCCATATTGAAATAATTTATAAACAAAACAAAAAGTTTTACTCGGTAGGTTTTCAAATATTTATTGCTATTAAATAATTCAATTGATAACTAAAACATCAAATTCCATTATAGAAACTTTCTAAAATAGGATCGAGTCCAGTATTGGCAAGAGATCTTGGTGATACTTTAATGGGTTGGGTAAGTTCTCATCGATTGCATTAATATATCATAATTTGTCTTGTATTTACTTTATTATTTGACTCGATCTATTAATATTGCTCAGGTCGATGATATGGTGGGACCATATACAAAATATGCCGAAAACTTCAGATTAGGTTTTGATTCTTGGCCCGAAATTGAAGAAAATTCGACTTTACAACAGACTTTAAATGTATATAATCATTTATTATTTATTATTTTAATAAATTAAGAGAAAAATTAACTTGATTTTTTTTTTATTAGGATATTTCGGCTGAAAAGAATCAACCTGTTTCTTTGGATTATTTTTTCGATATGCCATTTAAACGACTTCATTATTACAAAAAGCTATATATGGTAATATATTTCACTATTTAATCAATGAATAATTTATTATTTATAAAAACTCAAATCATGTTTGCAGCGACTATATAGGAGCACTGAGCCTGGACGTTCCGATGCTAACCTATTATTATCTGCAAATGAACGAATTGATTTTCTTCTTGAAATGGAGGAAGAAATCAAAGGAGCTGTGATGACTTCGTCAGTCTCTGAAGAAGTTGTTTCTTCAGTGGTAATTTCAGAAGAAGTGTCTTCACTAATAATTTCTTCGGTTGAGGAGGATGTTTCTTCAGCAGTAATTTTGCCAGTTGAAATAGATAATGATGAAAAAGATAATATTTCTATCAAGTCCCCTTCAACAAAATCACAAAATATTAGTTCTCCAATTGATTTGAAGAATTGGACCATGAAAGACTTAGAAAATCAACTTGATACATCCAAAACTAAAGATTTATTTACAAAATTACCAAAGGTAAATTAATAAATTTAACTTATCACTTTTAAATTATTTTGATGAAATTAATAATCCTTATAATTCCTTTCTTTTATAGATTGTAAAACTTTCGTTTTTTTCAACAAATCTTCCTTTAAAACGTGAAATTGTTCTTCATGATGATTTTATTATTGAAATTACAGAATCCATGAATTCAATTGATTTATCTCACATTAATGTTCATATGTTTTTATTGACCGACCTTTTATTGATTTGTCAACAAATCACTCAAGAAGAAAAGCAAGAATTTTTCTTGGAAAAGGATATGAGATTATTATATCCACCATTGAGTACAAAACATCTTGCTATCAAGGATGTAAGCGATGGTGAAGAAGGTTTGTAGTTAAATCAATATACCTTTCTAATTTTAATGAATTTCACTATTTTATATAAAAATTTTTTTTTTTTTTTTAGAAATGCTGGAATTGACGGTTTTGCAAAAAGAAATGATAGTTATTTATGTAGATACCAAAGAAGTTAAAGACGATTGGTTGAAAGAAGTTACTAAATCTATTAACCTTTCTTTTAATGGTATTTTTGATTATATTAAAAATAAATAAATATATACAAAAGTAAAAAATAACTTGATTAAATTCACATTTTTTTAATTAATTTATAGGAACTGAAAAGCCTCAATTGGGTATAGATTTAAAGGCCGCCCATAAATTTGATAATAATTCTCAATTATCAACTCCTCCAATGTCTGCAAACGCGATTAAAAGAAGTCCAAGTGTAGGTAATCTGATAAGCAAACAGCAACTTAAATCTCCATCACCTTTAGGGTCTGGGGGGTTTAATAGTCAAAGTTCGAGCTTATCTCCATCTACGCCTGGTTCAGATTCTCCTATCGTACGTTCACTTACGCCAGATCCACCTCGAAATGTGGGTGGAAATTATCCTGGTGATTACGTGCCATTTGCAGAAGGAAATGAACAAGGAACTGGACAAGGACGTCTTAGCGATCCAATATCACCTTTGGATATAAAAAATAGACTGAATGCAGGATTACGTGAACGTTCTAATTCTATAGCTTCGCTCGCATCAGTTATGAGTATCGCAGTTGATCAAGAAACAATTTTCAGATCATCCGCATGTGAAGTATTTACATGGGTAAATGGAGAGTGGAAGCCTTTGACTAAGAAAGATAAGTGTATTGTGGAAATTCGTATGACAGCTCAAAAAAAAGGATGTTGGGCTATAATATTGGGATCATCTAATAGAATGGTTCTTAACGCATGGATTTATTCTTCAACCACCCTTCATCGAGAGGATGCAAATTCTTTTAGTATATCATGTGAGATGGGACAAAGACGAGAGTTTTACAAGATTGACACAATAGATAGTACAGAATCTGATCAATTTATTGATAGCCTGTTGAAAGTTAGGGAAAGTGCAAGAGGAAGTCTCAATGTTTCACCTGAGTTCATTTCTCGATCATCTTCATTACAAACAATTGAACCTTTGCGGGAAGTAGAACAAACTATTACGCAAATTATGGAGACTAGATGTCGTGTATTTTTACAAAATGATCATGGAGTTTGGACAAATCTTGGATGGGGTAGTATGAAATTATCACTTGAAACGCCTTCACACCGCAAGAGAGTTATAGTCAATTCTGATAAGAAGAAAACAAAGACAATAATAGACGCGATTATCTGGGAAGATGGTGTTGAAAGAGTTGGAAAGTGCAAAGTAGCTCTTACGTTGAATAATATGGGTAATAATATGCGAATCATTTATTTACTTCAGATGAAAGATGAAGCATCGGCTGTCAAGGTATTTGACATTATGAAAGAAAAGCGGAAGAAATGAATTAAATACAAATCATTTAGTGGGACATAATTATTGTACATATAAATTTAGGCTTGACGAACTTTATTATCAAAAATTGTGAACTTTTTTTTAGATACAATTATAAAAAAATTAGTTATTTTTATTTATTTAATTATTATTAACAATTTATAGAAATTACCAATAGAATTTTTAATATAGAATTAAAATTTGGCGCAGTTTTGCACAAAAAAAAAATAATTATTTATAATGTCCAGAAAAAGAAATTTCCCCCCTGCATCATTGTTACATTGTTTTGAAGATTCTATAAATAATTAACTCCATATTAATTTGCCAATTATATATTTAAATCCAAATTATTATTTTTCTTCCCCCCTGAACTTCCGTTTTTTCTTTTTTTTTTATTTTCTTTTACTTTTTTAAATATCTGCCATTTTATTAAATTTTGTGAACTTTTTAAAAGAAACATGTTTTCAATGACTATTCTCTCATATCGAAGAAATAAAAAAAATGCAGACCCAAAATATCAGGAAAACCTTGCTCATGTTATTAAGGATATAATTTTAGGAGGTGATCATTCAACTCATTCAAAAAATCGTAAGAAGGCTAAAAAAGCAGTTAAGGCTTTACAAGATGAAACGGCAGCAAAGGGCATGATAAATGTATTAAAAGCAATGCCAGACCCAAACATACCTTCAATGGAAGTTACAGTTATAGAAGAAGAAGAAACGAAATCAACAAACCCTTCTGAATCATCTAGTAAAAAAATAAAAAAAGAAAAGGTCACGATTAATCCACCTTCAACAAGTTCCATTAAATTATTTAAACCACCTCTGGATAGCATTTCGGCTTATGTTTACTGGTGGGGTTATGAAATTTATGTCCCACAAAATTGTATGGGCAGATTAGATCAAGCTCAGAGCGTTGGTGGCAGTTTTTTGGGATTTTTACAAGTGGTTGCAGGAAATGCTTCTGCTATTTCTCCTTATTTCGGCTTTATTTCGGCTTGGGTCAGTTTACAATTTACTGTAATTAAAGCTCAAAATCTTGGTCAAGGTGTTGTTTTGGCTGCTACTTGGTAAGATCATTCTTACTCTCTTGTAATTTATCACGTTTATCAAATTAAAATATGCATTTATTAATTTTTAGGGTTCTTCCCGTGGCTTTAATTCCAAGAGCATGGTAAATATATTTCCTTTTATGTTTAATTGATCCTTTTTAGTAGGACCTCTAACTTTACTTCTTTAAATTTCTTTAGGGATGCACCATTCGAATAATATCGTCTTAACTCGCAACTTATTATTAATATTTATGAATAATTACTTTATAATTACATTTTATATATTAATTCATTAATGTCGTCTCGTTCCCATAATTTTATAATTACTTAATAAATTCTTTAAATTATACGTTTAATGTGTCACCTGCTGTTAAAATCGCGCTACGCCATTATATAATTTTTCCGCTTCAGACACGTCATTTGCTTATTCTATTTTAAAATACAGGATACTAAATTTAAAATAAACTATAAAATCTGTATTTCTTTTAGGAAATTTTCGTTGATGATAAATCTGCTTTAGCCAATATGAAAAAAGTGTAAATATTTCCGTTTCACCAACTTTTTCATTTGGAGAAAAAAGAAAAAAAAAAAAAACTTAAAAAGTTTCTTTTTTTCTTTTTTTTTTTTATTTTAATGAAATATACTTTAAATTATGAATTCAACGGTCTCTTTACCAACCAGCTTTATACAACCAAATATCGAGAATGAAGGACCAGAAAAGGGTGACAGTTTATTAGATAGTACTATTAAAAAGACTGGTTACCGTAAAAGGCGTTTATCAAAAATACCGGCTCCAGTTATAATTCCCCCGCGTTCCCCTATTATTATAAGTGCCCCCAGTTCCGCTAAAAGTGATTCATTTTTAGATTTACCTTCCCCAAAAACTCAAAGTCCAACAAAAAAGTTTATTATCAACCCTATAACCGCGTTAACTGCTGCTTTTCAAAGAACTACTTCAACAGGTCGTAAAACTTCAACGACTACCTCATTTTTAAAATTCCAAAAATCAAACAATCCAAAATCACATAAACCAACCTCTCCAAAAGCTGCTTCTCCACAATCACCAAAATCACCTAAATTTTTACATCGAAAAGGTAGTTATGATTTTAATCGTAAACATTCTGAAGGTCTTATTAGTCCAACCTCTAATTTCCTTTCTATTAATGTAGCTCAATCTCCAACAAATAATTCTAAATCCACCGGGTTTTTCGGAAAATCTTTTTCATTATCTATCAGTACTTCTAATCAATCTACGGCACCTAAATCTCCATCAAAACTAAAATTTAATCTTAAGTCACAAAAATCCCTTTCACCATGTAGAAAAGCTTCACCAATGGTACCTTCCGAGCTCGCAGAAAGAATGAGAGAATTCTCATCTTATAGTACAAAAGTTGATGATTCGTTTTTGCAAAGGTTACCTAAACCTATTTTAATAGATGTTCGTAATTTGGCGTTATACCAAGATGATCATATTCGAGAATCCTTTAATGTCAATTTACCAACGCTATTGATTAAAAGATATCGTCGCGGAAACATGAGTAATTTTTCCTTAGAATCATTTATCACAACACCTGAAAGTCGTGATAGATATTTAGACATAGTGAATGAAGATGGTGATCAATATTGTCATGATGTTATAATTTTTGACGAGACAATGGATGAAATTGATAAATCTAGTCCAGGTTGGACTTTATTGAGTGTCCTGGAAAGAAGTTATAATTCTCCACCTTCTGATAATGTCGAAGAAAATTATGAAACATCATCTAGAGGAAGAGTATATTGGCTTAAAGGAGGGTTCGAAGCATTTAAGTCATGGGATCAAAAAAATGAATTTATTGTAACAGGATTGGAATTTGGTCCTTCTTCCGATAAAGGTTCTGTTGATGGTACTGTGGAATATGAAGGTCAAGAACAACAGCAACAACACTCTAGTTTAGTTCGCAGAGATTCTTTGTTTTCTGTAAATACTGAACGAAATTCTCTCAAGCGTAAAAAAAGTGGTAAACAATCCGAATTTAAATCAGAAAAAAACATGCAGCAACCACCACCTCTAGAAACAAATGTTGGAACAAAGCAGAATGGAATTTCACGTGGGCGACGACCTTCAAATGGGTTACAATACTTGTTTCCAATTAATGGCAATTGTAAAATTGGTAAGTAATGAATTTTTTTCAATAACTTTGAACTCATAAGAATTCTACTAAATAACAAGAATAAATTATAAAATAATAATAATATTAATAATCATAATAATTATTATCCTTTAAATAAAGGTGAATCGTTATCGCTTTATCCAACTCCTTATGACTTTCCCGACACTGAATTTGATCCCGTATCACCTAAAACTTCCACCCCTATAACACCTTCCGAGGTTGCATTCGTAGTTTCTACTATAATTCCTGAATTTCTCTTTCTAGGTCCAGATATTACAAAGAAGGAAGAAGTGGATGAACTGAAAGATAAAGGTGTAAGAGGGATTTTAAATATGGCTTTCGAATGTGAGGATAGTCTGGGATTAAAAGAAAAATTTGATCGTTATTTAAAATTAAATATTAAAGATGCGATTGAAGAAGATGTTGAAAGAGGATTAAAAGTTGCTGTTGATTTTATAGGTATGAGGTTTAACATTACAAATTTATTCGCTTAAGAAAAGAATTTATATAATAATATATTATTGCAAAATTATAATAGAGCGTGCTCACGAGGATAAAATGCCAATTTATGTTCATTGTAAGGCTGGAAGGTCACGTTCAGTGACGGCAGTTCTAGCTTATCTAATTAAATCGCGTCAATGGACGTTGAGGCACGCTTATGATTATGTGATTGAACGTAGAAACGTTATATGTCCTAACATTGGATTTGTTGCAGAGTTAATGAGATTAGAGAAAGGTGTACTTGGTATTAAAAGAAACAGTGGCGCTGTTACTGAGTTTTATCTTAGAAATAAGGAAGAAATGTTTGTTATGGAAGGTGTTGTTGAACCATTAAGTAAACCACCGAGAACTGCATTTTTTGAAAATTTGCAACTAGGAAGATGATATGTTATATATATCTATCGCATTCAACGTGACGATAATATCTTTAAGAAAAAAGCACGCTTGCATTTAAGAACACGATCGCTGTTTTGAAACGTTGGAGATATTTCAATCGTGAATGTTGAAGGAAAAAAAAAATTAAATATTTTATTTTCATTTTCAAATTGAACTTGATTATGAATATTTGTTTTAAAATCATTTTTTTTTTTTTGATGTCACCCGAACAATAATTCTTATATATATATTATATATTATTTATTTATTTATTTCTGTAAATATGTTTTTTTTAAAAAAAAAATTAAACCAAGTTATTTGATTAAACTTCAGTAGTCACGAGCTGCTTGCTGCGTCTTCCCCGTTTTTTTTTTTGTTCTTTTCAAGGCAATTCGTGGCGTATGTGGATAATTTAAAAAAAGGGTGAATCTTTTTTCTATATTGTATTTGTTATTTATTGTTCATTTGTAAAGTCATTAACATCAGTTATGCATCAAATAGTTAAGTTTCAAATTCGGATGGTCACACAAATTAGTTATGTGATCGAGAATATAAACGAAATGATTCTTCACTAATTCTCTTTTTTTGAAAAACTCATATCAAACGTGTAAAATGACAAAACAAAAGTTTACGAGACTTGCGACAGAGAGCGAACATAATCTTACGTCACAGCCAGCTATGCCTTTACAAACTCTTTCGCCTCCAAACCAGGCGGCCTCTACTAGTCCCATTAGTTTCGATGCACCTCCTCACGTTGTTCATTTTGCGCAATTGCCTCCACCCCGAAGGAGCTCCCTTCCAAACATAGATATGGAAGATGAGTGGCCTTTTACCGAAATTCCGCAAGAACTTAGAACGGCAGAAGAAAATTACAACTCAAACGCTGCCAATAATACAGAAGCAAATTCGATGCGAACCGATTGGAAGAGAGAATTATTCCTTTTGCTGGAAGATCCTTCCTCAAGTAACGCCGCTTTTCTGGTGAATGTGTTTGTGTCTTTCTCAATTGTACTTAGTGCAGTTCTAACTACTGTTGAGACAATACCTTCATTTAGGTCCACATCGAGTTCCGTGTGGTAAGTCTTTATTTTTCTACTCTATAATTTAACTAAGGAGTAGGTGACTTATTTGATATCAAATATTTTTTTTTTAAAAAATAATAATAAAAATTAGGTTTAACTTTGAAACGACTATAGTAGTTTTCTTCACATTAGAGTACGGGTTACGTTTAGTTGCACATTCCGATTCATTTCGCCAATTATGGCGATTCGTAAAAGGTAAATTAATATTATATTTTTTTCTCTTTGATATTTAACTGATTTTTTTTTTTTTTTTTTTTTTTGTTATTATGCGTATATTTAATTTTCATATTTGAAACTAGCTCCTCTCGCTGTCATAGACTTTATTGCCATTGCACCTTATTATATCGAATTAATGTTTCATCATGATACAGTAAGTGATTAGGTTTATTAGAACAAATTATAATCTGCGACTTTTATATATGAAAGTTTATTTAATTTCCGATCAGACCTATGATTTTCGATTTACTATCCTTCGGTTGTTTCGCCTTCTTCGCGTCTTCAAAGCCTTCAAATATTCTTCCACGATTATCATGACTATTGAAGTGATGATAGTTGCTGTAAAACGAAGTATGGATGCTTTGGGAGCATTATTTTTCTTCATGGTGACAAGTATTGTACTGTTTTCAACTTTATTATATTTTGCGGAACGTGGTAAGTATTTCATAGGCGTTAGTTATAGGTCTATTGATCTGAATTTTCTTTTAATTCTAAACAATCTTTATATAAAATTTACAAGGAACTTGGGATCAGGAAAAGAAAGTATTTGTTGATAGTAAAGGATATCCTAGGTATGAATTGAAGTGCTCGTTCTTAATATTGTAAAATTATGGTGATATTTAATTTTCTTTTATGATTATTAGTTCCTTTGATAGTATTCCATCAGCTTTTTGGTTTGTTATGGTTACTATTACTACAACAGGATATGGTGATATGGTTCCCACTACATTTATAGGAAAATTGATAGCATTTCCCGCAATGATGTGCGGGATTCTTGTGAGTAATCTTATTTTCGAAAAAAAAAAAATCGTGAGCCGTCAATGAAGCTATTATTTAAGATTTAGTTAAAAATTATGTAGTTAATTGCCTTACCATCAATTATTGTTGGAAGAAATTTTACATTAGTATGGGAGGCAATGCGTCAATATCGTCGATCAAATGCCAATTCTCGGGTAAATATTTCAAAGAAAGTTCAGAGATCCCAACTAATTCAAGCGATATCAACTAATAATAGTAATGACAATATAGGTAAACAATAACCAAAATGGGACTGAAGAGGACGAAGGATTTACTTTGGGTAAAAAAATAATCTTCTTCATTTAATTATAATTAATTTCATGCTTAACCATCATATATTATTACGTTCAGGTCCTGATTTACGAGCAAGTTTTGAAAGTACACATTCTTTTGTATCTCATGTACCTCGCGGATATTCTTCAATGAACGAAGAATTAATAGCTAATCAGGATACATTGTTGGAACAAATGAGTACTTTAATAAAATTATCAAAACAAAATCAAGCTGCCTTGGAAAGAATTCAACAATCCTTGGAGCAAAATGGAATACAATGTGATGTGTATGAAGAGAAAGAGAAAGAGAAGGAGGCAAGGAATAACTTGACAATACCGGAAAAAATTGCAACAGGAGGATCCTGACATCGATCACTAATAGTGTGCTGGAAGAAATCTGAAAATTTTGTCACTTTTCTTTTATAACGCGACAATGTGATCTTTCCTGAAGGAATTTTGGTAATTGGTAATGGTGTGTTGATCAGACATTCTGCGTTGAGTTGTGTGATTATTTAATTATTTATCAGCATTTTACATAATATTTATTGGCATGTTAAAATATTTTAATCACCCCAAATTATAGATTGTAAATAATTTAATAATTTTAGTACTCTTAATTAATTAATTTTCGATTTATTATAAAACTTAGGATAAATGTTGTACACTTTGTTGAGAAAACTTTGTCTGTATTTTTAAAATTAACATAAACCTTCATCTTCCTCTTCGGCTGTTTCCTGTGAATGTACAGGTGCTGAAATAGCAGATGGAGGTTGATGTATTGGATCCTCAGCAGGAAGTGCAGTAACCTTCTTTTCATCATTATCACCGTCAATTTTTTGCTTTTCATCCTCGTTTCCCATATGATCATTTAAAGAATAAGGACTCGATTTTTTCTCCTGATTATGCAAAAAATGAGAATCACTCTGCTCATGATTAAAAATATTCTTATTCTCTTGATCCTCTTGTTGAGGGATATAAGGTCGACTTGAAATTCCAGGAACTTGCAGTTCTCTAGAAAGTTTAGCGATTTCATTGTCCAAATATGTAACGATCGGACTACGCATGACTTTGTCGATAAGATCCTGATCACCCTGTTCAAAAGCATCCAAAAGCGAACTTGAAATCGCTGATTCCTCTGACCGGACAAAGGCATGCCTATTAAAAAAAAAATTATATATATATATATATATATTATATAAGTAGCCGAGATTCGTAGAGATAAAATCTAAATAAAAGAAATAGATCCAATAATTACTGGCAAAACGTTTGAAATTGTTTTTTCGCTTCAACCTCATCTTCTGCCGCCAATAACGTTACGATAATGCCTAAACAATTTTTATTCAATCCTGATTGATTATTATTGCTTTGATATATCTTTGAAAGTCGATGCATTATTTCTACTGCTTCTATGTATCTTGATAGATTAATTTCGGTTGGTTAGAATCTTGAAAATGTAAATGATTGATATAGTTAAATAGCAACTAACCTCTTGTTTTTAATCATAATCGCTATTGTTCTCTTAAATGTATCGATTGCGAACCTTCCACGATCTTCCGATTCAAATAAGTTGCATGCAGAAACATAGAATTCTATGGCACTATCGACCGAAATTGGCTCCATAGTTCTTTTTTTTTTTTTTAAAAAAAAAAAAATAATAAAGATGTCAGATATTTTTAATCATCACCAATTTCATTGGAAAGAAGAAAAAAAAAAGAATGAAAAATGAAAAAATGAATTATTTTTTTTTACCTTGCAGCTTTTTCCAACATTTCACCTGCTCGATCTGGAGTCATATGAGCTTGATATAAGTCACTAGCTTTTCGGTACATTTCACTTGCTCGTTCAGGTTGTTTAAGTTGTTGAACCGCTAGGTTTGCAGCAGATTCCATTGATTTTGCGGCCATATATAAGCTATAAATGATGCCGATCGATAAGAAACTTTATTATTATCAAAGGGAAGAGACATAATACGAGATACATACGAATCCGATTTAAACATGGCATCCGAAGCCTTTTGATAGGCTTGAATTGCTTGATCAAATGATCGAGCAGCCTTAAAACACGAAGCTATTGAAAATGATAAAAAATTATTCAAGTATTCTTATGATACATACAACTAAATGAATGAATTAGTCAAATAGAATACCAGCTTTTTCGTAATTTTGTCCGGCAACGTCCCATTCAGGTTTCTTGAACCAACTCTTTTTGGTTCTAAAAATGTTAAAACCGAAATAAAATTAAAAATCGAGTACGAAACTAAAAACAAGCGATAATAATTACTAACGCTTTATCGCCCTCTGATAAGAATTGAACCGCTTCTCTTATTTTGATATCTTTATTTTCATTCATAACGGAATTATTATTATTATTATTATTATTATTATAATTATAATTATTATTTTAGAGAAAAACGAAGATAAATTTTATATTTTAATGTTTGAATCTTTTTTTAGAAAGAACATTGGTTTTATTTTTTATATCTAATAATTGAAATAAATATATAAAAAAAATGACATCAATAAACGATAAATTCAAGGTTTAATTAAAGTCTAACCATAATATATTTTTGGTTAATTAACCAGGTTAATCAACCAGGTTAATTAACGCCCATCCCTAAATTTCAATAAAATGAATGTTGGTAAGATTAGATTATCTTGACAATGATATTTTCATATACCCCCTTTTGAGCCAAAGTTAAAGGGTATACAGCAAACTTGTTAGCAATGTATGTATGGTATGGTTTTTTTTTTTCATATATTTACAGTATTAGCATAGCATACATACCATACATACATTCAAGAAATAAACCAATACAAACATTACTAACTGTACTGTACAGGTTTGTGTATTACCCAAGTTAAATGAGCTCCTCTAAGACAACTATTGTTCGGATTAGTTTGCCATGAGAGTTTGAAGGATTAGAAACTAGCATGTTCTTTGATTTAAGATGGGAGTGATAATTTTGTTTGCAAGTGCTTTTTTTTTTCCCCTGGTGGCTTCTTTGGTAGGTTGAGGTACCCATTAGAAAGTCCCTACACTTTGGTTAATGGTATGTTCGAAATAGAACACCTAATAATAAGAATTCTTAATTTTATCTAATTCTGAATTATAATAATTAATAAGAAATGATTTAACAATTTAGAATATATTATTTATTTCAAACGTAAATTTATATTCAATATTTTTAAAAAGCCAACACAAAAATTACCACTATCTAAATAAAAAAAAAAGTAAATTACGATATTTCTCTCAGGGTTTAGAATTCAATTATATTTCAATATAATCTCGTGATATTCTTCTATAAGACCTTTAAATGTTTCCTCCAATTTTCCTATACGTTCAGCTCTATCAACATCTTTTAATATTTCCTAAAGAAAACAAACAAAGTAAATATAAGAAATAAAATTGAATCAAGAACCTTCTTCATGATACGTACTTTATTCCAATTATATAACCTTTCCTTCACTTGTAATCGATATGCTTTATAAGCGGCAGCATCCATCTTATTTAATTTTCTCAATAATTCAATTTCCAAACATCGAAGCAATTGTCGCTACATAAAAAGTATATCAATTAGCATAAAAAATGGAAAATACATATCTGAATTTTACAATCTAATCCTTACTTTATTTAACTTGTAATTTCGCCGTATCGAATCGATGGCCTTTTTATCGACGGGAGCTACTAGTCCTTCAAAAACTTTATGTTCACGTAAATATCGCAAATCATTCTTATCTCGGATTGCTTCAAAAGATTCATTTGGGATTTCGACTATGCCATAAAATAAATAAATTAATTAATTATGCAAATATTTTTATAAATAAATATATATTTGTGCTGTGTGTGTGTGTGTGTGTAAATTACCGGCAAGTTCTTTTATTCTCGAGTTTGATAAAACATATTGGTATATAGTCTGATAGAGTTTACCTAAAAGAAAGGAAATGATTTTTTTTAATTATGATGCTTATGATGCTTCATAATAAACCCAAACTCTCATTCATTATTCACTTACTTCCATGACCCTTCCCTTGAAAATGGGGAAAAATCAAGAATTGACTGTAAAACGCGAAATCGATTAATTTCAATTAAAAAAATAAATAAATAAAGAAAAACCATAGAAGATACATTTACCTAATCCTTAATCGTATGTCTTCAGGAAGAATTTTACCTTCATTGACACATATAGAGTTTGGTACTTTATCGTTAATGTTGTTCTCTGTACTAATATTCTTTTCACGATTATAAAAGTAATAATTGTACATCGTACAAAACCCCACAAATCCATATATGTGTTTGTCTCCTATACGCTTCTTTTCGAATCTATAAGAATAAATTACCTTAAATTGAGAAATCACAAAACATTACACGTTGTTGAAAAATTGAACATACAAAAGCATAGTTTCCCATTTCTCATCTTCATCTATATATGTTGCAGCTTCGATATAGAATAATACCATTATCTGAAATCGTCTGTGATATTCCTTGAATCGAGGTGTTTCAAACGTCGTCTACATTCATATAAAATAAAGATCAATAGATTATATAAATATATATACATGAATATTTTTTCATTTTACGTCTCATTAACCTTGTAAATTTCATAAACTTTATCTTCATCTTCACCCTGTTCAAGACGATATTCCGTTATCTTTTCACCCATTGGTTTGAAGCGGTAAGCATCGTCGTCAACAGTTTTTAGAAAAGTATCATAATTTGTGATGTAATCTTTTTAAATTTAAATCGAAACAAAAATACGTATAAAAATATGTTAAATTAATGATATCCTTGAATTGTATTTAAAAATAATTATCATACCATTAGGTATAAATTCCTTCATCTTATCTATAACATTATCCGCTATAGATTTTGAAGAAACATCCGGAATTTTTTCGGTATACTGAACATCGAAGTAAGTGGCAAGACTTCCAGAAGCAAATTTGAGCTAGGTAAGAATAATTAATCAATGTTATTAGATTATACTTCTTTCAATGGCTAATATCATATGACTAAATACCACAATTTCTAAATTCTTATATCCGTAAATTTGTTCTTTATGTCCAAAGATTGAATATGTAAAAGTGGGGGAAACTTGAACAGAATCAAATTTCTGGTCAGGGTCAGTTGAAGGTTCAACTAAAAAAAAAATAATAAAAATTGTATCAGTTTAGACTAAAGTATCATTATTATCTTTACAAGAGTAAAATATTTGACGTACCAAACCAAATAGAAACTGCTGCGTTCGAATTACACAACCATTCCTCCTCTTGAGGCTTAAACAACTCTTCTACCATTTCGGTCATGACTATTGTGCTGTGACAAAAATATAAAGCAAACAAACGCGAATATTTAGTGTAACTTTTAACCTTTTACGTATTTTCGATCTAATAAACGCGAAATGTTCATTACAACTTTGAATTTAACTTTGCACGCGTATATTTATGCTATAAAGTTTTATAAATTCGAACACGATCTACGAAACCTGATCAAATTAGAAAATTATTCACAAATATTCACGTGATCATTCAACTTATTACGTAAAATGAAATTACCAATTTAATTTTATTAGATATTTGTTTATTATATGTACACATTTTTGATTTGATTTTCTATTTCAACAGCATATTATTTCCGTTACATGAAATCATCTTCCAGATCGATATTACTATCGTAATTACTGCGCATATTCGATTCATCAAAGAGTGAATCATAAGATTTTTGCGCTTCCTTATTTTTCCTATCCTGTTCTAAACGAAGCTCCTCTTGTTCCTAAGGATAGATTCAGAAGAATCAAAAAATTAATATTAATCAATTGCCTGAATAAAATTTTAAAAAATAACTTACCTTTGCAATCGCCGTTTCTCTTACTATCCTTCGTTTTTCTTTTTCCGCTCCTAATTTCTCTTTCTCAAGATCCGGAAATTTCTCTATTCTGGTTTTCTCAAGACGATTTATGATTTTATTATTTTTTGTTTTAACTTGCATTTTTTTTACCTAGAACATAAGTTAAATTTGGTTTATACTCTTGTAACTTCATTGTCAAATTAAAATGTAAGAAATTACCTTATTTTGATCATGAAAAGAAACTTCACCGGTGGCCATATCATTAGTCTTTAACAGATTTGACCACGGGGTGTATAATATTGTAACGTTATTCTCCTTACACCCTATATAAAATTTAAATTACAAAGTGAAATTTTTTTTTTGAATTTGAATTTGAATTAATTTTCTATTGATCGCAAATTAAGACGAACCCTTGATACTGTTATCTTTAGTCAATTGACCTAAATCTTCTAAAAGTTTTTGTGGAATATTTTCCCAAGATTGTCCGGATTGCAGTCGAAGATACACGTGGGCACTTGAATGTGGATGAACATGGAACTTCAATTTGGAAGAAGTAATTGAAGTTAATTAAAGATATGAAAAATTGGAGAATTAAAATTTTCAACTTTATAGACAAAGTATAAATACCCTATGAATTTCACATCCCATCAAGGAAAAAACAAGAGGGTACGAAATTTCTTAATAACAAAATCACCTGATAATATTCACCATCGTGCTCGTGGTATATTCTTGTATTAGACTTACGCACTCGCAAGTTCATTTGAATTGAATTGGATGTACAATTCTATTATCATCAGTCATGGGTTCATTCAATCCAAGTGAATTTGCGAATGCGCCTACTATATACCAAATGATAGTCATACCATACATCTTCTTCCCACCCATGTTTAATCAAATCTTCGTCTGATAAAATGTCGACATAAAAAAGGTAATAGATTATTAATAACTGAAAATATGAATAAAAAAGAAAAATTTTGAATCAAGCTTCACTTACTTTCCTCCATATTCTTGCCCATATATATCAACGCCGGAGGATCAACCACTTTAGAATTTAAAATAAAAATTCAGTACAAGGATATCTAAGACCTCTCGAGGGAAAGAATTAAACTCGGTATATACCTTTACATGTAAAATAATAAACCATTTTTCATGAGCTAAAGTGATGATTTTGCGATTCTATTTTTATATATATGTCATTCCGCAGTACATCAAGGTTGATCGTAAATGTACCACCCCAATTTTTCATTAATTACTAGTATGATTCAATTTATACTGGTTTTAATTATTTTTGAAAAAAGGTTTATTATAATGAGTAAAAGTTAATTTATAGAAAAATGATAGTAAGAAAAGAATTCATTATGGAAATAAGAGATATTCTCAAATAACATTTTAATCAAAGATAAAAAAAAACCTTAGGATAGCAATGTAAGCTTAATCAGATGAAAAACTTATTAATCGCTTACATTGGATTATCACTATTGTTAGTAAATAAATGCCTACTTGTCAGCTAAAATACTATATAACTTTCTATACCATTTTATTTGCTTTCTGAATTAGCCTTTTTTTTTGTAATTCGATCCGGTTCTCTAGATATTTTATTTATTTGATTGTGTTACGTTTGAGGTCATTCGTGGTATGCATCTCTTAGTAGTATCATGTCATTTATACTTCTTTTATTAATTCGCAAATTACATAAATAGCATACATATATATTAATATATTATTTTCGTCAATTCTTAACTCTTCTTTCCTAGCTAGTTTATCTAACCATTTTCACCAGAGAAGTGAATCCTGTATCACTTTTTGGACGTGACTTAACAGCTCTCCTATGAAAACGGGGCAAAGCGTTCCAATGCGTTTATTTGTTTTCCTATTCAACCAAACTTTAAATGCTATCACATCCTGGCAAAATTCGCCCTCAATTATGCCATTGATTACCAGAAAGTTATGTTATTTGCTTCAAAGACATCAATCAAAGATTTTTTTTCTTCATCATAGAACGTCTTCATCAAACCCAGATGGACGGTCGTTCCATATATCATTCCGATATGCAGACGAGTTTAATTTACTTCACCTTCCGATTAAATAGTAGGCAGCTGCAAGATTGCAATTGTATCCGAATGCAACTTCTGCCGCCAAAACTATTTCATCCTTATGTGCTGCAAATCCGTCAACTATGAAAAAGGGAAACTGTTGATCGATGCAATTAAGGCTAGCTGATCCGCTTCCACCGTTACCCGGAATTTTGTGATGATACTCCCAATTCACATCAGTATCGTCTGAACCAGTAAGAAATTTATCTGACCCCTCATTTCTAAATACATCGGCAAGTCGTTTCCTAACTTTTTCGTTTTTAGGTACTTGACTATGCAATTGACTAAAATTCTCGAATTATCTATCATCTGGCAAACCTCTATTGTAGCGTTCTAATAAGATATTGTACCATTCGCCGATAATATGACAAATATCGTTTATGGCTTTTATTTGGTTTTCTGATGGTTTACTCCCCGGGCCTCTACAGGGTGTGAATGTATATAGGAAATAAATGATTTAATTGCTTTTGCAATGGCGTTACTGTATCAATGATGCAGTGTTCCTTCATACGAACTCCCCATAATCTTGCTAGCAATCTTTTTAAGCCAGAGTTAACATTATCTACAAATTCTTTAGTAAATAAATTACGTAAAATTGTAACACGTGATGAAATCCATTTATTCGGGTTCTCCATAAAGATTTCAATAAATACATGTTAACAGCCAGTCTTGATGATGCTAAGTCAGCAGGAGACAGCATAAACCATAACGAGCATATGCTAGACCCAGTAGTCACGAGAGAAGTAAACTTGTCGTGTTTTATGTAATTACTCTCCGTGCGTTGTTTTCTTGCTTATCTTGTTGTGACTCTTCATAAGCCTTAATGGCTTGTTCTTAAGTAGCATTTTTGTTATTTTCCTTTATTCAAAGATATATTTTGACTTTTCATCCATGTTGTTTATGTGATACAGCGTTTTGAAGGTTCGTAGATTAGTGAATATGCTACGCCCGTTTTATTGATATAGGGAAGAAGCAATACTGGGGTGATGAAAGTGTTTTTTAGATTCTGAGTCAAAAATGTGTTAGACGACTCGCGTCTCGCGTTTATATTAGTGTAACATTTAACTTATTTGCGATTTTATTGGTTGAATTTAACAAATTGTTCTAGTTCATTCAATATAATTTTGTTCAAAAAAAAAAAAAACATTTATTCAATAAATATGAGTGACGATAATAAGTTAGTATCATTTTATAAATTACTTATATTTAAATAGTAGAAATTTTTAATTATTTAGACTAACTATACTTGCGTTAAAACAGTGCCGAAGATATTCATTCACAAAGTAATAATTTAACATGCCCAGAATGTCATAAATTATATACAAATAATAACAATTGGTGTGAAGAATGCAATGTTAATCGATTTCAACAAAATTTCCATATTGGACTAGTGGAAATGAATTTATCGATAAATTTATTCAAAAAACTCAACTAGATGCTAAGAGCAGTGATAAAGTATTAGAATGGATTCCTTACAATAGACTTGTAAATGTTAAATATTTTGTTAAAGAAGGATTTAGTACAGTAAAGAAAGCTATTTGGTTGAATGGATCCATTAATAAATGGTCATATAATGAAAAAAAATGGATTAGAAATAATAACAAAATGGTGGCTCTTAAATGCATTAATCCATCATCAAATTTATGTAATGAATTATTAAATGAGATATGATATTAATATTTTAGAATTTATAAACAGTTTTTATTTTTAAATTAATTTTATTTATTTATATTAGAAATATCATAAACAATCTGGTATTCATTTATATGGATTTACTCAAAATGCAATTAAGTTAAATTATATAATAATAATGGATTATGCAAACTTATATTTAGAATGTAATGAATTATATACAAACGTATATAATAAATGGTGTAAAGAATATAATGCTAAACAGTTTCAACAATCTTTTCGTAATTGGACTAGTGGAAATGAATTTATTGATAAATTTATACAAGAAACTCAATTAAATGCTGAAAGTAATTACAGAGTATTGGAATGGATTCCTTATAATAAACTTGAAAATATTGAATATCTTGATAAAGGAGGATTTAGCCTTATATACAAAGCGATTTGACTAGATGGATCTATTAACCAATGGAATTATAATAAAGATAGGTGGAGCAGAAATAAAAATAGAATCATAGCTCTTAAAAATCTTAATGATTCATCTACATTAAGTAATGAATTTTTAAATGAGATATATATTAATATTTATTAATTTAATATTAATATAAATAATTTGAACTAATTTTTTATTTATTTATAGTGGAAATATTATTATAAATGTAGTCAATTATATCTAATTCAATTATATGGATTTACTCGAAATCTAAATACTTTGGATTATATCATAATAATGAATTATATAGATGGAGGAAATTTAAGAAAAAATCTGTCAAATATAATTAAATTTAAATGGTAGTATAAATTAGGATTATTGTATAATATCATAAGTGGACTTTATGAAATACATCAATCAAATCTTGTACATCGTGACCTTCATGAGGGTAATATTTTAAATAATAATTTGTCAACTTATATTAGTGATTTGGGATTATGCTGACCTTTAGAATATTTTAATTCTTCTAAAAAGAATGTTATATATGATGTTTTACCATTTATAGTACCTGAAAGTTTAAGAAATAATCCTTATACTACAGCTAGCGATATATATAATTTTTCTATGATTATGTGTGAATTTATATCTGGAATACCTTCATTTAATAATTTATTACATGATCATAAACTTTACTTAAGTATTTGTAAAGGTATTCGTCCTAAGATAATTGAAAATATTTCAAAATGTTATGAGGATTTAATGATAAAATGTTGGGATAAAAATTCAATAAAAAGGTTGACTGCATTAGAAATCATTAAAACTATTCAAAAATAGAATTTTAATAATGAAAATGAAGAAGATATTATCATATTTTTGAAAACAGATAAAAAAACTAATATTATAACTAATAGTAAAGCTATTAATGAATCTCATCTACAAGCATATTATACAAGTCGTTTATTAAACTTTATTAAACCATTTAATGAAATTTTAAACTTAGAAGAAAAAGAAATATTTGATTATAAAGATAATGAATATTATAAATTAAATGATATAGGAATTAGTCAAAGTATCGATATATATTATTATAAGAATTAAATATAAGCAATTTAAATATTTGATTATAATATAATTAAGTAGTTATTTTTATCCTAAAAATTGATATTAATGACTCAATAGTTTTATTTTATTATATATTTGTCTTTGTTACAATTTTTCATTTTATCCAAACCCAGTAAATTTGTTTACCATGCTGCTATATTTATTTATTTAACATGTTAATGCTTAAATAATAAATCATTGTTTAGAACTGTAATTTCTCTATGCTAAAATGTTATACGTCACCCTCTCTATAATCACACCCATATATAGTCACACCTCTCTATAAGCACCCTGAGTTACTAATAAACTTACTAAAAAAACCTCTCTTTAATCACATCATATAGTATTTTTATAATCACCTCATTTTTTTTCATGAGGGGTATGACTATAGAGAGGATCGACTGTACAAGCGAAATACGGAAGTCACATGATTTTGATTTTTGATTCAGGACCCACTTTACAATGTCACTTTGTTTAAGATAATTTAAAAAAAAATAAAGAAATTTACGATGCTCATTTACACTTACCGCAGTAAATCATACGAGACGATGGCGCTTGTCGCATTGACATATTTGTAAAAAAAAATTTTTTATGTAGGTTCATCTCCTTTGAAATTTCAAGTTTATGACCTTAGTTATTTTTTTTTTTTAAAAAAAAAAAACTACGATTGCGCCCATTATTTAATTTACCAACTTGCATCACATAATATTTAAATTTATTTATATTATTTAGAACAAAATAAAGGCATAAAATATCAAATTTTCTAACATACGTTCGTAACTTCACAACGAGAAGTGTAGAGAAAGTTCGATAAATATGTCATATAGAAAGAAAGAAAAGTGAAAGATATTAGTAATTCGAGTATCATTTTAATAGGGTTGCCAAGATCCTTTTACATTTTTAATTGGCAATTTTTTTAAAAGAAGATACTTGTAGTAGTCATTCCGACTCGGATACTAGATTTTGGAAGGAAATAGAGTAATGGTCATAATTTTTTTTTTTGTGGCTTGGTCAAACATGTCACATTCATATTAATAATCAAATGTCACAAATTTTATGATCATTTTTGAAATATCACGTAACATAATTATTAATTTAAATTTGATTAGTTTATCTTTAAGTACTTTATTTCTCAAGAACTTTGACTGCTGAACACCAGATAACATTATCATTTAACAATTAGCATTAAAGCATTTATCTAAAATTAATTAGAAATTTGTTTTGTATTACTGACAATTACGTGATGATACAGTATATAATATACAGTTAAGATATTAAATAAATAATTTTTCGTAATTTATGTAACCTTCGCTATGACCTTATCCGAAATTTTATTAAACGCCTTATATAGATTAGATTCAATGTAATTTTTGATCAATCCATTTTCCAATGTTGTATCATCCAATCTTTCAACCATAAGCGTTAATGATGGGTCAATTGGAACGCGACCTAAAGCAGAAATAATAAACTTAAAAATGGGAAATAAAACTTATTGCATGCGAGAAATTATAAAGGATACCTAAAAATTCTACACCAAATTCTTGTGCCATTGCTTCTCCTCCACCTGATGAAAATAAATTTGTACATTCCTACGTAGATTATAGAAATAATATCAAATCCAAAATTAATAATCGATTAAACAGAAAGAAAATTAGTCTTGACGAAGTGATCGAAGGGTTGAACGGAAATACAAACCTCACAGTGAGGGCATACAAATCCACTCATATTTTCTATAACTCCTAATATCGGTAATTTTACTTTGTTACAAAAATTTAATTCTTTACGAACATCAGCCAAGGCAACTGCCTAGAATTATTTTATATTTTCATTACTTTAATTGATAGGAAAAAAGGAATCTCTTAAAGATGAAACAATTAATTACCTGTGGAGTTGTTACAATGACTGCACCGTCCGGATTAACATCTTTTAAATATTCAGCAATAGATATATGCTCATCAGACGTACCAGGTGGTGTATCAATTATGAGATAATTCAACTCTCCCCAACAAACATCTGTCAAAAACTGCTTAATCATTGCATTTTTTTTAGGTCCCCTCCATACAACAGAATCGTCTTTATTTTGTAATAAGAATCCGATTGACATACAACAAAGATTTTGATTTTCATCTGCGAAAACTGGTACCCATCTGATAAAATTTTTTTTTATTAAAAGACAACATAAATTTATCAATTTGGACGATCTAATGAATAATTAGAATACTTACCCTGAGGAAGCTTGGTGAACTTGTTTACCATCAAGGCCTAGCATACGAGGTATACTAGGTCCGGTTAGATCAATATCCAGAATACCTACTTTATTTCCTCCCTGTACCAAACATAATGCAAGCTGCATTGCTATAGAACTTTTTCCTACCCCTCCTTTGCCTGAAAGTACAAGAATTATGTGTTTAATTCCCGACAAGTTTGTTGCTATTGTATCTGCCATTTGTATTAAAATAAGCAAAGAGTATTTTTCAAAAGCCTAATATCTAAATTTGCGCCTCAAACTTGATTAGTCAGCAAATGATAATCTGGATAGATCGGAAATTTATGATAATTACATGGGACCTTTGTCAATAGAAAAGGAAAAAAATGATTAATGTTAAATCTGAACATATTTTGACCTAAAGATCATATTTGGCATGCAAAAGTAAAATTCATTTTTTCGACAGTTTCTATTGAAAAGGTCCCACATTACGCAAGCATGATATACTTATTTTGTTCTATTCCAAATCCGTTAAACTCTACCATTTACTAATTCAAATTTTTTTTTTTGATTATGCTAAAAATTTTGTCTAAAGTAATTTTATTAAAAGAAAAAGTATATAAATAGATAAATATTACAATAATAAAAATTATAATAAAAATTACCCAACTCAAAAAGATACTAGAATGGTTAAAATGTGAAAAGACTAGTGTATCGGGTGAAGTTTCGGAGGGTTCGGATTAAGTTTCAGAATAAGGGCGAAACAAGAAATAGTTTCGCCCGACTTTCCTTTTTAATCAATAAATATAAATATTCTAATTAGGTTGTGGAACAAAATTTTAAAATTTCTAAATCTAAATTTTTTTTTTTTACGTATTCAATTAAATGTGTTCATAAAATGTTCATTGATGCTATTGAATTTTCTATAGGCGATTTTTCCGGACATTTTTTGTAAACAAGATATCATCTTCCAACACGTTCTACAACGGAATTCATTAACTTGCGTGCTTCTTCAATCCCTTCTCGTGTTCCAGTTACGATCACTATATCATCACCTTGGATTTTAGGTACTTCTATATTGCATTTACTTTCATTGCGAATACGACTAATAGTTGCACCAAGTCGACCAATAATGTGACGATGGAATTGATGAGGAACTGAGATATATCCCGTATGAGTAAAGTTAACCTGTTTTAAATAAATATATATATTTATAATTAGAATTTCGAAAGAAATTTAACATGCAACTTGCAAGATCTTACCGATCCTTCCAATAACTCTTTTATATATAACTCTGCCTTTTCGACTTGCGATTTCTCCCCTTTCAAACTCCAAGGAATCTCCCCATATACTTCTTCATTTTCAACAATTTCACACTTTAATTCTCCATCGTTTTCTTGAGGATTTTCATCATCATCAATTCTTTTTGTTGATACCATATTTCCGTTAGGTTTCTTAGGTTGAGAATCAATTTTTTCAGGCGTTACTTCGCCATGATCGACAATGACATTAAATTCGTTTCGAAGTTTTCGTACATGTGTAAGAATAGAATTGTGAAATTTACGAGGTACATTCACAATATGAGTATATCTTATCCTAGATAAAATATCGACTTTAGCGGCTTCAATATTTTCCGCTTTACCAATAATTTTGACCGCTTCTTCACTATTTTCAACTTCATTACTCAAAATTTCCGCAGTAGGAGTTTCATAGTATGATCGTGAACCGGGAAATTGAATTTCGACATCATAGCGAGTTTGAAGTTCTTTGAGTTGACTAGCATTACGACCGATTAATATGGAGTACTGAGTACGTGGAATTTGTACCATGCCAACTTTTAAGTTACTTTGTTCTTCAACTAATCTTTCCAACTCAGTTTTAACTTTTTCAACGAGACTTTTCTCTCCTTTGAGAATCACTTCATCACTGTTATCACCATAGCGAGGGAACTTTACAATACTAGCATGGCCACTTGTTTCTTCCGTTTCACTTGCATTTGCAACAATTTCACGAATACGGCTTCCACGTGAACCAATTAAGTATTTGTGATGTTGAGGATCTATATGCATAGTAATCGTAATCTGATCTTCAAGTTCCTTTACAATATTAAGAATTTTTTCTTGAGCGTCGCAAATATCAGACTTGGTTCCGTGAATAACAACATTTACTACTTGTTGTTCTGAACCGTCTTCCGGAATTTCTGGATGACCTAGATCAATACGTGTAAAGGTAGATGTCTTGATTTCTGATATTCTAGAACCGCTTTTACCGACAATATGGGGGAGATATTTAGCAGGAATTTTGAAGTTAATAGAATGATCATGATCTCTTTCATAATCTAGTAATTCCAACAATTCTGCCTTTGCATCATGTACTCCCCTTTTCCCACCTTTTATAATAACTTCGTCAGGGTTTTGAGCACATGTATCTTCTTCATATTCTCCATTAATTCTTGGGAAACGAATTTGTACTCCATATTTTTCTTCGAGACGTTTCACATAACGACCTTTTGTGCCAATCAATGACCTATGGTATTCGGCAGGAACTATTAAGGGGACTACAGTAGCATCTTGCAATTTATCTATCAAATCCATTATTTTTACTTTGGCCTCTTCCACATTGCACTTCACTCCTGTAATAGTAACTTTAACGTTTTCGCCCGGATTGGTTTTTTTTTCTTCCCCTTTGGGGCCACCTTCGATATCAATTCTAACATTTAAATTTTCCTTAAGGCGGTTTACATGCGCACCACCTTTACCAATGACATGAGCTGAAAATTGAGCAGGGAAGGTGAATTCCTCGGTATAAGATTTCATGATCTAACGTAATTAAAATGAAAATCAATTACTAAAATAGTTGAACTTGAATGAAGATAAAAGAATATTATTTACCTCGACATGTTTAGCATTTTCGACTACATGATTAATTTGATTTACAACTCTTTCAACTTCATCAGTTGGACCTTTAATAATAACGATATCATCAGAAATCGGCACATTCACAAGCCTTTTACCTTCAGCGTTAGCTGAACGTTCAGCTGCACCAGTTCGAGATGATCCAAATTTAACAGAAACAGGTGCATCAATGCCTCCGGTAATTCCATTAAGCGTGCTACCTTTTGGTCCGATAATATATCGATGGAAACGTACTGGGATCGTGAGAGTTTGTGTAGCAAAATCCGACTATAGAAAATTTTTTTTCGTTTTCATATTATAATAAAATATATATTTTGCACTCTTATTAATTTGACTTGACATCTAATTTGCATTTACAGTTTTAAACCACAATTATAGTATTGTCCCCAACAAAAATATGTAACGTTTGCCGCAATAAATAACATTGCTTAGAAATTAAATGTACTTACAGCATCCTGACCCGCTTTTATTAGTTCGGCTTTAGCTTGTTCTAAAACATCTTTAATATAAGCCTCCTTTTCTTTCTTATCGGAAGGAATTTCTTCACGCTTTCCCTCGAAGACAATCAATATATCCGGACTATCATCTTTTTCGTCAGGAACAATGATCTCAACACCATATGTATCTTTTACTCGTTGGAGATTTTGCCCTTTACGACCAATTATATGTCGATGCAAATGAGGTTCGATAGACGCAATCGCGAAACAATTTGGAGACTACAGAAAGTAACATTATAAACTGAATTCAAATAATCCTAATCATCATATACTTTGTAATTTAATACAATATATGATTAATAGAAAAAACTAAAAGAAAATTTATACTTTAAAAGAATAACGCTTACCAAATCCTTAACTATTTCACGAACTTCTTTTCGTGCATGCTCCACTTCCTTGTCCACTTCTGTTTGTGCATTTTCCACTTCTTTAGAAACCTTACCAACGAATTCTAAAACAACTAAAGGTCCTTTTGGTACAATGATTTGAATGCCTGTATCGCTTTCAATCTTTTTCAACTTGTTTCTATTCCACAAATACTTTAATATATTTTTAGCATGTTCCAATGGTTGATCGGCCTTGTGAAGATGAGAAATGTCCAAAGTTTTAACATGAATTGAATTGGCTTTATCGTATACGGCTTGCAATGCTGCAATAACTTGATTCTGTGGCCCTCGGATTATAACTTTTTCAGAAGGGTCTGATGGTGGTGCGAGTTCCAATGAACAACCGGTTTTTTCGAGAATCTCCTGAAGGTTAGATCCTTTTTGTCCAATTAGAAACTTATGTTGACGTTTTGGAATGTTAGCTTCCACAGTAGTAGTATTACTTTTCTAATTAGATGATTCATTAAATTTTTTTTTTTAAATAAAAAAAAAAGTAAGTAAAAACTTTTTTTCTATAAAAAATTCAGAGGTAATAATAAATGTACAGCTTACCAATTCCTCGTAAATTTCTTCAATTTTATCCGATGCCCTTTTAATAGCCTCTCTTTCTCCGAAAATAACAATGGCATCCCTTGAAGAATGTTCATGACTTTCAGTTGATTCCGTAGAAGCAAAGTAAGGAGGAACGTTAATTTTAGCACCAGTTTCGTGACTGATTTGAATTATACGCGAATTATGAGCACCCGAAATAAGTGGATAATACTGGTGCTCGATATTAGTAATTCTATGAGTTCGCTTTGTCGACTTAAAAAAAAGCAAAACAAATATTAGATATATGAATAAATAATAATGAATGAAAAAGGTTATCTTTTGTGATTATTAAATAATATTACGTTACCCTGTTATTTATTACAATGGCTTCTATTTCTTCTATGGCTAAGCTAATACCTTTCGCATCACCTTCCAATTTAACGTCCATCATTTCTTCTTCAGCATCATAATCAAGTTCAATTCTTTCTTCAATATGGTTTTCTTGGCGAGTAGGAAGCTGAATTCTAACACCAGTTTTAGTAGTAATTGATTGTAAAGTTTGACCACGAGTTCCAAGAATGTGGCGTCGAACGGAAATTGGAACTTGAATAATTTTTTCGCTCTATAAAATAACATAATTTAAAATTCAGATAAGCCTTTAATTAATCATTTGAATATAACACATTAAAAGCTAACCTTAACAGCCAAATTGTCAAGCAAGTCACGTTTGGCTCTCATAACATTTTCGTGTTTCCCTTTGATTATAAAAGTTGTATTACCAGTTTTATGTCCTGTCGAGACTTCAATATGTGTGTTAGTCTTATCTTTAACGCGCTTAACAACGTCGACAGTTGTGATTTTATTACCGAACTCTTTCTTTTGCAACTGTTGATTTTGCAACTGTTGGGAGGCAGGCAATTCAAGAATTTCTGTCACAAAAATTGGTTTTTTAACCGATGGATGATGGGTTGTTGACATGAGAGTCGCTCCTTCATCAGCTGCTGATTTTTGATATTCGCCAACGGAGCCTAGAGCTACTCCTGAGCGAACAGCAGCAACACCAGACTTAGTACCCCATGCTGAAGAGGGTTTTGTATTTGTGACGGTTGATGCCGATAAAGAAGGAAAATTCGTATCATATGATGCAGACGTTAAATCGGGATTTTTGGTAATAGACGGATAATCAGTTTTTGTTGTGACTTCATTTTGAGTATGGGTTTCTTCATGCTCTTCATGAACTTTTAAAAGTTGTTGAGCAGTATGTGTCTCGAAAGTAGTGCATTCAGTACTTTCAGAGTTCGACATTATGAAATAAAATCAGTTTCGGGTTTGATCCGTTGTTTGGCGACCAGTGATATAGACAGAGGCGAGGGGAGAGTGGCTTGTTTTCCGAAGCCAGCGTTGCAGGTTATAGTGTTCCAGAAGGCAATCTTGCAATTGACTAACTAAATTGAGGAATTTTATACCACTACCAAAGATGATGAGAAAACACTTACCAGTTATTTTTGAATGGGTGTAAGTTCATATAACATCCGACGAGTCTTGGGAAATTTTATTTTTGCGCTTACATCTATCCCACATGATTGATGCATGTGTATGGCTATAATCGGTCCAATCAAAAATTTGAAAACTCGACGCAGGACTGTTGCGTCAATTGCTAAGGTTGTACGGATTCTGATTGGGTAAATTGGATCAGTGACACAGTCACACTCGCATAAAAGTGTCGCAATTCATTTTCCGAAGCGTTTTAATAAAAATTACTCAAGGGATCTTTATAAATTTTAGTGTTGTTCTATTACAAAACTCTAGAGCTAGTTTATTGAAAGCAATATGAATAGTCAAGAACGAGTTTCAAATTCAAAGATAAGCGGGTTGGTAAGTTTCATTCAAATAAATGAACTTATTTTTTGCATTAAATGGTCACTTATTTGTTTCCATTCTTTTGTTTTGTTCATTTTTATAGCAATTCTTGAAATCTGACCCAAAGATGCGCGTAAGTTTTATGTAGGTACTTTGTTTGTTTATTTAAGAATGTTATTTACAATTCTGATTCAGTATTTAGTGGAAGCTATCGAGAAAAATCGGGGCGCAAGTAGGATGATGGACGAGGAGATAGTTAGTACTTTAACTGAAATCAGAAGTTTGGGTTCAAAATATGTATGTTTTTTGATTACTATTATCATCATCATTTGTTATATGAAAAAATAAATTATAGAAATTTCAACGTTCTTTAACCTTTTTAACTTTTGAAGGCCGACCCAAATCTTGTAGGTCGCGCTGAATTATATGAGGCGATAGATAGTGTTTTAAACGCATTGAAATCATATTCAGTAAGTTATTAAGTTGTTACTGAGACGAGAATTACGCGTGACACATTTTTTTTAATATAATAATCATTACAGGAGTATTCATCGCCGTTCCTAAAAAAAGTCTCATCTAAAGAGGCACCGGATTACAATAAAAGTAAATATATGTTTTTTTTTTTATATTCATCGCTTCTTTTATTCAGTTATTATGGACTACATAACCTTTTTATAAAAACTTTAGTAATCAAACGTCCAATGGATCTGAGTCAAGTGTCAAAAAACTTCAAGAGTGGACAATACAACTCCAAAAAAGAGTTTGCTGATGATCTATATCTAATCTATGACAACTGCCTCCTCTACAACACAGATCCAGCAAGTTCTTTAATAACACCTGTCTCTTTATTTTCTCCGCGGGCAAAATTTAATTTCCTTTTTCTATTTATCAGGATAATTACTATAGGAAATGTGCCAATGCGATGAAAATAAAAACTGATGAATTACTCAAGAACGTTCCTGATATTGTCATTAAAACTCGAGAAAAGTATAACGAGGAAATGAAAAAGAAATCGGAAGAGGAAATGATGAAGAAGACCGCCGCAGATGCCGCGGAAATCGTTGCACAAGTGCAGCAAGAAATTGCCGCAGAAGAAAGTAATATCTTTAATTAATTATAAATAATTTTATAGATTTACGTTATAATTTTTTTTCATTTCTACTAATGTTAAATATAGAGCCCGAAATGAAAGAACAGCCATATCTAATCCAAGAGCAAGTCTCAACAGAAACTCCGCAATTTCCTGTTGTCTGTTCTGATGAAATTAATGAAGATGAGTGTGACAGGGAATTGCAAGAAATGCTAAAGGGGTGGGATGCCCCTCTTTCACAGGAGTTGTGGGATCCAGAAATAGATAATCCTGATCGTGACAGATTGTTTGATCCCGAGTACTGGAAGGAGTTAGTAAAACAATATATATATGTGTGTGTTTTTGTTGGGTTGTTTTGATACGTTATCATAAAAATAAAATATAATTAATTATTTAGGCAAGAGGCCAAACGGCCAACGCTCGATCAATACCCGCAACTTCAATTCTCGAACCGTGGCACTGCTGCGATGATCGAGCATAATATAGAGACGCTCAAGCAAACGCGTCTCCTTCACGCGAAACTGCTAGCGGCAAAACATAACTTGCCGGTAAGTTAATTGGTCGTAAATCTGATTCAAGTAAATATTGACAAATTTTTTTTTTAAAAAAAAAACTACAGCTTAGTCATTTTGGTGTAAATGAAACTGCGCCAACTGAAAAAGCCACAAATTGTCGAACACAGATAGACCCAAATATCTCACCACCACTCGTGATGAATCGTGAAGCTGGGTTTGCATGCATGCAACGAGTCGTTGTGAAATTGCTACAACATGCAGGCTTCGAAAGCATGTTAACATTGTTTTGAATATTAATCAATTTTATTTATGTTAAATAGCTAGTCATTAACTATTATGTTTATATCTTTTCATTATGCGTAGGTGGCTCGTCGATGGCCGTTAATATCTTAACTGAAGTTGCCCAGGATTATTTATTAAGTCTAGGAAAGACGATGAGGGCCTACAGGGATGATGTATTTAACAAAAAATCACCCGAGGTAAATAATTATTATAATTCGTTTATGTTCCGCTTTCAGTTTTATTAATGATGTATTTAATCACTTTATTAAGGAAATTATTAAAAAGACTTTGTATGAGAATGGCGCGACATCCTTTAAAGATCTTGAATCATATGTTCGAGATGACATTGAGCGGTATGGCAGCAAACTAAAAGACATACAACGTCGTTTGGAGATAGCTTATAAGGATTCTTTGAGTGTAAATATATTTATGTTTGACTTTCATTCCTTTCATTATGTACTAATCTTTTTATTTCACAACAATAGCAACCTGATAATACGGAGGCTGATGAAGATTTGCCAGAAAATGATGATGTATTTATCACTGGTAATTTAGGCGAGGGTATCGAATTAGGGGACGATTTCTTTGGATTAAAGGAACTCGGATTAGGGAACCTTTCAGTTCCTACTAGGTTGTTGCTTGGAACTAATAAAATTAAGCCCGCTCAGAAAAAGACACCAGATCAAAACCAAAGAAGTAAGTTGGATAGGGAGGGAATTCTTTTAAGTTGGCTTTATAATCAATTATTGATTAAAATATAGAGTCTCGGTATACTCCTCCTCCACCATTCACGCCCATCGATCCCGATAAACAAATTGGGCTGCTTACCGAGTATTTCCGCAATCGATTGGAAGATCAGAGCGGTAAATTAATTGATGTAAGTAATCACGTATTCATTTCCTTGATCCGGTTCTTTAATATAAATTGGTATCCTTTATAAAATTTATGGTCTCATGACTTGATATTAGGATGAGTTTCTGCCACCGAAACAAAGGAATCAAAGACCAAAGGTTCCCCCCACTGGTAAGATCCCCCCACAACCTAAGAGACAGCCACCTAAGACTGCGGCACAGAACGCGGCTGCTCTTTTAGAGAAGAAGCGCAAGAGAGAGAGGGATGCCGCCATTGCAGAAGAGAAAGAAAAGGCTAAACGAATCAGAATAGAAGAACGCCTAAAAGCTCAACAAGAAAGAGAGGAGCAAAAACGTATAAAGCAAGAACAACGTGAGGCAAAGAAAAAAGCCGAAGCGGAAGAAAAAAGATTAAAGAAGCTTCAAGCGGAAGCCGAAAAGAAAGCAGAACGTGAAAAAAGAGCAGCTGAAGCGGCGGCTCAAAGAGCCGAAGCAAAGAAAGTAGCCGAAAAGAAGGAATCAAAGAAGAAGAAACCCACAACAACTAAAGTGAACCGGACTCCCACAGCCACTAGTACACAACAAGTGAGAGGTGGATCTTCTTCAAGTACAATGGCTGGATCATCATCAGCTGGTTCGAAGAAGATTTTAGATCAAATTGATGATAGTGATTCCGAAGATGTTCCACTTGCTGTTAGAAAGAAAACCAGAACTAAAGAAGCGGCAAGCAGTAATGCGCGTGGTGGTAATGGGCGCGGTAATAGCAGACCGCCTAATATAAATTGATTTTCAATAACGCGGCATAAAAATATTGTTGTAAATATTGTTACAAGAAAGTAGTTATAATCTACAATAATGGTGAACATCAATTAATGTTTTCACTAAAGAAAAGTGAATTTTTCAAACTTAAAAAAGACTTTAATTTCTAACTTAAACAGTAAACCTTAAACAGGAGGGAGATTCAATATAAATTACAAGATAAAATACGTGAATTTTTATTATAATATTTAATCGAAAAAAAAAAAAAATGATTCTATATATTTACATAAATTGTTTTCAAAATTCAGGAAAATAATAATAATAATAATAATTAAAAAAAAAAAAAAAAAAAAAGGGTTTCAAATATCGGGGACTTTATTTTTGATATATTTTTTTTTCTTTTTCCTCTTTTGGTATGTGTATGCATATTATTTGAGAAAAATACTATATTATATAACTATAAATTACCGATTTCATAATCACCTGATTCTTCAAATAAAACTACTTTAACAAAATTACCATACGCAGCCGCAACACCATAATCACCAATTTTAACTACTTGCCTAACATGAACAAAAGGCAAAATTTCATTCATTTCATCTTCCTCTTCTAACAATGATAATGATCTTTCATTATTTGGATATACTCGATGTAATACGCTACCACGTCGTCTTTGACTTTTTTGTCGATAATCAACTACTTGACCTTGTGTATCTTCTATTTCATGATCATCATGATGATCATGTTGATGCATGTTTGAAGGTAACGATATCGGGAAGGTAGGTCCAAAATTTGGTCCGACCACTTTATTAACTGTGGTATGGTTTCTTCTTCTTCTGACAAATCCCGTTAATTCTCCGGTACTTTCTTTATCTCTTCGTTTAAGTGCTTCTTTTTTCTTTTTTTGTTGTTGTTCAGTAAATAAATCTGATTCACTAACTAAAGGAATAGTTCGCACTAATAATTCAACAACATCAACTTCGTTGTCGGAATTCTCTTGCCCATCTTGAGTAGATTCAATAACCCTTGGGTCATTAATTTCCAACATCCACATTTCCCATTCTCCTTCTGCTCCATGACATCTTGGTATACCATGTTTTGATGCTAATGAATGTTTAACCTTCCTTACTCCAACTATATTATCTCTTAATAATACAATTGCTGTTCCGCCAGGTTGGCAAACTCTTCCAATAAATTTGGAATGATAAGAGACGACACCATCCCATTCAGCTACATCTTTTTGTTGAAGGAGCCCAACCGGCGCATTATTTGTAACATTATTTTGTAAATTATTTTCTACCCGTAATGCCATACATGTACAATCCATAACATTTCTAACTAAATGCCATACGTGCACTTTTTCGTCAGCAGAGGAGGTGACTATTGAAAACCCTCCATATTCTGTATTACCACAAGGGCAACTTTCTTGTTTTAGTAAATTGATTACAATACTGATAATTGAATCTTTATGTGATAATTCATCCTCCTCGTCATCTGTATCTTCAGTTTCATCATACTCATAATCATCAAATTCATCATCAAAAAAATCTGAATCAGAGGATGAGGAATTATTATTACTATTATTATTATTATTATTATACATATTACTTGTTTGCATTTCAAATTGTCTCATTTGTTTTTGTTGATGAATTAATAACCTTTTTTGTAATAATTGTTGTTCTCTTTCTTTTTCACGTCTTTGCTTAGATATTGTACCTCGACTTAATATAGCTATAGGCTTACCATTAATGTAATCGTAAACTCTCACTTCTCCATCTAACGCACCCGTAATAACCACCCCATAAGTGTTGTTCACAGTTTTTACCACCTTAGTAGCTATACACGTTATAGCATTTCCTGGTTCACCAGGTATTGTGTAAATTGACTTCCATCGACTCTTGAGAACACCATAAGGATTAATAGTAATATTTGATTCATTCTCAGGATAATAAACTTTCCGAACCCAACATTTAACAGATCCATCACGTGCACCCGTGAAAATATACAAGTCATCTTGATTATAGTCTAATTCACCATCGTCTACAACACACAGATAATTTATGCCACCTTTCTGATTAGTGGCTATTGTATGAACAATCTGTCCCGAAACTAAATCCCACTCCCGGAAATAACCATTACGATAAGTAGCAAGTAGAATAGACGGGGCTTGCTGGATTGATATTGGTCTGGTCGTGAAATTCATATAATTTAGTTCATAAGTAGGTGTCTGTGGTATTGAAGATGAAGATGTCGGAACGACAAATTGTAAACATGTAACTCGTTCTTTCGCTGTATTTCCGCTCACCGCAGACATAACTGATTCTACATCTTCGACAGTGTCCTTTAAAATATACGTCGCCTGTCCAGAATTAATATCCCAAACTCTCACAACACCATCTTCAAATCCAGCAGCAGCAAGTTCAACCTTTTCACTCATACACATGGCCCTAACAGGCCACGATATACATTTCTTCATTCCTCCAGTGATACCACACTTACATGAGTCGCATTTACGCATATATCTCTCGAGCTTTTTCATTGAATTACCTTGTTTTCCATCCCATGAAGTGATATGTTTATCCGTAGCAGTTGAAATAATCATACCATTAGGGTTAGCACAAAGCAAGCTAACATCAGCAGAATGACGACCGCGCAGAGTAACAACTCTGGCCAATGAAGGAATCTTGTTCGCATTATTACCACCATTAGAAGTTTCGCCTTTATCAATTTGATCTGAAGATACCAAACGACGCACCAAGGAAGAAGTCGCATGAAAAATTCCAAACGCGGGAAGGATGATAAACTTCAAACCGAATACAAAATTTTTGATAATTGATCTAATAAGTAATTTCCATCCTAATAATTCAGTTGATTCTGTTGAATTTGCTGACTCTGCTAAATGATTTATTTGTTCCAACGTCCACAAAAGTGTTAATTTTCTTGGATTTCTAATTTCAAAATACCGATTTATTCTTTTCGGATTTACAACATTCCAGAAAGCTTCAGCATATACGGCAGTCGGAGTTTCATAAAAAGTATTGGTGGTAACGTTGTTTTCGACAGCACTCTGATTTGAACCGACCATCATATTTTTAATTGAGGATAAAATACTTGTCAAATCTCCATTTTCCTGATATAAACTTGTCGCTGATGCCATGAGAATAAGAGCCTTTAAAAAAAAAAAAAAAAAAAATTTTTTATCCTGAGCGTTATATATATATATACATAAATATATATATGCAATAAATATTATTAACTTACTAACAAAGAAATAGCGATTCTCCCATTGCTAAAGTGATTGGAGGATTTCATAAGTGTTTCCCTTTCCGCGCCATTAGCATTACGGCTTTTAAGGGTCTTGGTAGGTGTCAAAGGTGTACTAACTCTTCGATTATATAAATCAGAAATCTATATTATTATTTTATTTTAAAAACCAAAAATTTAAATAATTTGTGTAAAAATAATACGTTTTTTTGAAATATTATACAAATGAATGTTAATAAGACAAGAAATAACGAATGTCATGTTAAAATCATAAATCTAAATATTAAATACCTCTAATCTTCGAAGATCGATAGATAATGTGGTGATGAAAAATGACATCTGAAGAAGATAATCAACAATCATTGCAACAGATGTGAAAATACAAAATTCTTGAACGGAATTAATATTTGTCACTGAACAAATCAACGCCACCAATAAAATTTTAGAAAATAAAGCTTTTGTCATTGAGGCTCCAACTTTTTCAAGACCTTTTCCAACACGCTCTTTAACATCCAATTCCATTGAAGTCGAGGTAACGGCATTAGTCAAAACAAACATGTTCTCAACGCCAACAATTACAAGAACAAAAGGCCTATGAAAAAAAGGATAAAGATTATTAAAAAAAAATTTTTAAAATAAAAATAAAAATAACAAAAAAAAGGGAAAAAAAGTAAAAAGGTATCATGAAAATTACCAAGATACAAGCGTTAATGTGACACCAAAGAGAGAACAAACGCTAAGTGAGATAACGAAAGAGACAAATACTTGGACCACGGTTGAAAATGCCAAACCAAATTTTGACTTTACAGAATTAAGTCGTCCAAGAGAAAGTGAAATGTAAAGAAATACAACTAAATGTTCAAGAGCGAGGATGAAGAATTCTGCCGGAAACTCCATACTGCGATTAAACTATCAAATGTATATGTGTTAAAATTCAACAATACGACAAATTTGTTACACTCTTAATTTAAATAAACACGTACGTCAAAAACTATATGGGTTGAGGTATCTTTAAAATCTATATCGAAACCTTTTATGCGTTCACCAACGATGTGACAAGTATCATTTGCATTCATCACTTGATTCCAAAGTAAATCCCAAATAGCTAAAGTTTGATCTTCAGCACATTCGCCCATACCATCTAAATAGTAAGTTAAAATAATTGAATCCGCACTAACAATCTTTCCAGTTAATTTATCATATACAGGGTTGCCAAAAACGGATTTCAAAGGAATAGGTATCTTAAATGAAGAAACTTCGTTTGCTTCTAAAAGAGTTTTTGAGATATCTTTATCATTCATAAGTAACTCTGCGTCGTAGTTCCAAAATTCAATAGGCGAATGAACTAAACAACGACTTTCACCGTTTGGTTTAAAGCATAAACTAGAAAGGGTGTATTTTTCAGGTTCTTGACGTGAAATAAGTGGTGAAGTTTTATTCGGTGGATATATTACTACAGTATTTGAAAGCCTTTCTTGCAATTGAAGTGTCCACAGAAACAAATTTTTTTCCAAAACATTTGTACCATCAGTAGTAGATCGACGGTAATTGTTATCTCTAAAACCTTCGGTTTTAATTATAATACTTTCTACGTGTAAAGAAGGTTGAGTACCGCATTTTTGTTTGAAGCTAGATTTCGAGATTGGCACACGAGATGAAGGTAATTCCCAGTAAAAAGTTGGAACGTCACTAAGAGGATTTAGATAATATGCATTAAGTGCAGGATAGCATAAAGGTAAAACTAAAAAAATTGCTGCAACTATAACGTAAACTTGGTGAGTTGCGCAAAACTTCGCGTGACGATAAAATAATTGAGAGATACTATGCTTCTTTAATTCGAGATATGTTAAGACGGCCATGATGCCGTTAATATATTGAAGTCGTTATCTTTTATATAATAATGGATGAGCAGACTATTTATTTATATATAGTGTAAACGAATTCTTAGATTGGAAGTTTGGAAGTGGTTTTTTTTTTTTAAATTTTTAAAAAAAAAACCGCAACTGTAAAGGGTATTTAGGCAAAAAATTTGTTCCAAACCGGATTAACAATGTAATTACTGCGCGTTGATGAAAACTTCTGATTAGCCAAATTTCCAAATTAGGAAATATTTTTGCTAAACCACGTTTCTTTGATTCTTTTTTTCTCACCCATCGCTAAAGTTAGAATTAATTAACACTTACTCGATTATGTTACCAGAAAAAAAAATTCAGCCAGAAATTTTCTAAATGAGAATGTCTGTAATGTCTAATGCAATGTTGTAGAACTTGTTATACTAATCACATGGTACCTCCAACATTTTCCTAGAGAAGTAGTAAGATAGATTGATTCTCTTATACAATACGTCAAGTGATGAATACTAATTAGGTTATATGGAAGTCTCAATCATCAAATCAAATATACAAAATCAAATGTAAAATGTTGATACAATAAAAAGAATACAATGAAGATAATAACAAATATTCACATTTTAAGATTTGATTAAAGACTATTAAAACAGTTATATTATACAATAAAGCTACCTAGTCTTCCACAATTTCATCTAATTGTTCCATGAACACTTCACAACTTACTCGATTAATTCCATGTTTCCTCAAAAGTTCAAGAGCGTTGTTCGCACTTATTTTTACGTGTCCTGAATTCAAATGTCTTATACCAAATGTTTCACTGAAAGAGACAAAAGATTTTTTTAATTTTTTTTGAACAAAAAAAAAAAAAAATTGAAATTCATTTTGACTGGCATATACTTACACTTGACAATATTTGATGAATTCCCTTTCTTCTTGCTCTACAGGAAATTTTGCGAATTGCATTTCTTCCATGTCTGCCGATACATGCTTACTATAGTAATCATTGTTAAATATACCTGTATTCTATCCAGAAAGATTATCATATGAGAGAGATCAACGAGTTCACATACCTGATTGAACCTTCACTGAATTTAGGTCCTTTAATATAAGCAATATATTTACAAATATGGTGCCTGAGACAAAATCCAACACCAGTATCCTTGCTTTGGAAAACGATAAGCCTATTATAATCCTTATTCCTTTCTTCGTTAGGAGGTTCCTTGGGTGGTGTCTCGGGAGAATTCTCACGAGATACATCAGTTGATGGCTTTAAACAAGATAATATTTATGCGTCAGGAAAAAAAAAGCAAGGTACAAAAGTCACGTGCATCATAAAAAAATTAGATTTATCACACATACTTCACGTTTTATCTGAACCGAAACATTGCTTGGAACTCGTGGAATCGTTGGAGTGAACGGTTTTTTAAGTTCTAGGAAAACGGTAATGAACAAGCATGAATCACCCGATAAACTAAAAACGACGAAACGTTTGAAACTTACATACCAGTTTTAAGGTATGGAAGTAAATTATTTAAGCTATATTGTTCTGTTATATCAATGCCAAACGCGATATCTTGATTCAACCTTTCCAATACTGGTCCATAAAACCAATTCGCTTGAGGCTGTTGCATTAAAGTTTCAACTGTCAAAACACGTACAAACGAATGAAGAATAAGTAAAATAGATAAATAAAGATGATCAAATGGTTTTCAGCTTTCAATTTTTACCATAAGCAATAAGAGCCTCTATTTTTGGAATAAGGAAAGGTTAACATGACGCGTTTTACGTGATCACAACACGAAAAAAAAAAGGCTGGTAAAACATACTTGTAAGCTTATCTCGCACATTTTCAAGAATGTCACTCTGAGTTCCGTGAATAAACTTCAAGACGACCCAAGAGTCCAATTTTTCATCAGTCAGCTTTAAAAGGCGGACTGGGGTCAAGTTAAGTTTTTCAATTATGTGATAGTTTTTGTCTACCGAATGTAAACGCTCTACGCGTTGTATAAACTTCATAACATCACTTTGGCGCCAGGCATGAATAGTTTCTATCGTAGGTAAAGAATACATTTTTTACAGGTGAAATGGGAATTGAGTTGGTCGGGTTTCTTTTTTTTTAAGTTTTAACGAAAAAGGTTGTCAGCGATCACCGGAACATGATCGATTGACATTTTTATATGCAGGTAGATTTTTCTTATTCAGGGTCCTAGCACGTTATAAATTGCGAATAACATTTTTCGGACCTAAGAGATACTAATTCAGGTAATATAACTTTCAAAAATTACCATAACTGCACTCAAATTTCATTAATAAGGACAATACGCACGACGTGATGATATTCTATGAAATGGTGGCATAAGTCGGTACGACCTAATGAATTCACGTGAATACACAATTTCAAATAATTGATGCATAAAATACATACAGATTATATCATCATACACTCAGATTTATATTGATTTTAAGTGTTACCCTTTTTTTTTTACCCTCATCCCTCTTTACTTTTTTCAAAATGTCCGAAGAACTTGTTAATATATTTAATATATTACTCGGAATATCTATGGTCATTGGTCCTGTATTAGGATACTTTGACCAAATTAAAAAATTTCGGGAGACAAAGTCAAGTTCAGGATACTCCTTAGACACCACAGGAATATTGTTAGTTAGCAGTATTATTCGCGTTTACTTTTGGTAAGTCGGGGGTTTCTGAATGTTATTAGATTAAAAATTATTTTTATTATTTTTTCATCATTTAAAGAAATATCTGTTTTATTTTCGAACTAGGATTGGGAAAAAGTTTGACACGGTACTTCTTTATCAAAGTCTTTTGATGATATCAGTTCAGCTTATTCTATTATATGAGTGCCTCAAATTTAGATATCCAATTTTACCAACTTCAAACCGACGATGGTTTTGGAATTGGTATACATATAAATCTTATTTGATTTTTCTAATTGCTTTAATTGGAATGTTAGGAATTTTTCAACTAATATTTTATGAACAAGAATGGTTCATTGAAACTTTGGGTTATTTGGTAAATATATGATATTTAAAGCAAAGCTGAAATTTTCCAATCTGATTCTAAAACTTTTTGTTTGATCTATAAAGTCACTCGGGATTGAAAGCACTGTGCCAATGCCTCAAGCCTATAAAAATTTTAAAAGACATTCTGTGTCAGGATTCAGGTAATATAATAATCTTCTTTTTTTTTTTTTTCCTTTTCAATTCAATTTTATCTTCTTTCACACTCTTAACATTCTTTTTTTTTTTTTTTTTTAACTTTTAAAATAAAGTAAATGGATCATTTTAACGTGGGTGGGTGGTGACTCATTTAAAACGTTTTATTATATTTATACACATGCACCACTTCAATTTATTCTCTGTGGTATCGTACAATTAAGTGTAGATTTTGTAATTGTATTTCAAACTGTTGTTTATGGTCGTAAAATGAGAGAAATTTTTGGTTTAAATGATACTAGATGGTATAATAATAGACCTTCAAGTTATAGTTCTTTAGAAACCGTTTAAGAAACATATTTAACATTTTTTATTAGTTCAACTATACATGTATTTATGTACAATTTTGGTTTTGTTTTTGAACTTTTTTTTTGTTTTATATTTATAACGAGATCGCTTATAAAAAGTCAACATTTTATAAATTAATTAATGACCCCCATTTTCTTAAATATATTGTTCTTTTTCTTATAAATTTGGCATTAAATAATAAAAAAATCACGTTCATTTGTTGAAATCAATATTTATATCTTTATTTATATTTTTACGCCACAAAAATAATTTTATTGGTGTTGCATAAAACTTAATGTAGTATGTATCCAGGAGTAACGTCAGTACCAATCGTCATGGTATTTCCCAGTTCTGTCATTTTGGACGTTGATATATCCCTGAAAGTTTGGTATTTGGAAGTTTTATAAACCTGTTTGAACAATTCAACCCTGCATTAATGCGCATGCTCTTTAAAGATCAAAAATATTATTAATTGTCCGTTATCCATATCAAAAAGTTAATCGGAGGAAGGGTTGGATCGGTTCAAAAAGACCGGTCTTTCATTCGGGCCGGTCTATAAGTCAGTCCTTGTGTCGTTTTTTTACAACTTATGGCATATATTATTAACATTTACGATATTTTACTGAATGATAACGTCCGAAATGGATAACGACGCAGTAACCGCTTTGTTAATTCTATGTATGCAATTATTAATTGTTTTATCATCATTATCAAATATGTTCTAAACCGGTCCGGACCGATCTTTAGAATATGGGACCGGTAATGACCTGCTTTCTCGAAAACAGTGGTAATGTTAACATATCTAAAAAAAGATTACTTAAACTGATATTTTTTTAAAACATGGGAGAAGACGGGATTTTTTTCATGGCAATAACCCTCTATTATAACACGCTTACTCGAGGATTTCGGGAAGAAATTGTGGAGAATGAGAATTTTTGTATGTGATTATAATATGCATGACGTAAAGGAGTGCTATATACGATTCACTCCTCTACTGCTACTGGAAAAATAAGAGCAAGACTCTTTTCTTTGATCGCAGATCTCACATGACCAAAATTTCGTTTATTTACCAAGGGTAAATAAGGAAAATATCATTTGCTTGTATCAAAATCTCGAAATATTTTTTTCAGACTTTGAGCATATGCGAAAATGCTGCGTCTATTACCTCTCACGTGGGATTCTGTGCTCTTTTTATATTATCACAAATCAAGTAATATCTTGACCATTGATCCATCTATATATGCTGTAGATATCTATAGAGAGTTATCAAGAGTATCCAAACGCCATATTCTACATCGAATTGCTCAATATTCACTGATTCAAACTACACCAAAATTTTATTTCATAGATAAAATCTCAAATATATTTTATAAATTTTCATATAATTTGAATCTGTTTTTTTTTAGACGTAGTTATGCAATATTTTATTATATAAATCAATTTCAGTAAATAAATACATGAAAATCCCAAAACAGGTACAAATATAAAATAATAAAACTGCTTCCTAATACTCTTTGCTAGCAAGGCTAATTCCTACCGGACCAACTGTTTGTTCCATCTAATTTTGATCACAAAGATTTACTGAGTAATTATGGTTATCACTGATCTAAAAAGAGACAAATAGTGACCATATTTGTAAAAATTGTTCAAGAGAGAAATATAATCTATAAAGTTAATATTTTGATTAAAGAAATATTAGAGAAACCATTTATAAAAAAATTAACATTGGAAAAAGCAAAGTTACTCTTTTTTTTGACATAAGTATTATATATAGCTCCTTCTTTTTCAATAGTAAGTTCACATCTAGTTTCTATATAATATTATAAGCTTAATTGAATACAAAATCATAAATAATGTGAGAATAGAAAGTAGCAGTAGAAAGTTTAGTAGAGGAGATTAAGGCGTTAAGGAGTAAAAATAAAACAATGCCTTTGATAATATCAACAAAAGAAAAATTATATAGATTTGTCCTTACTAATCAAATATTATGTAAAAGTTTATAATTTTATTAACTTCATTAGAAAATTCATTCTTTGAAATATGTATGAAAAATTATTGTTTCAGATGTATAATAAAATTCACAATTAATATTTTTAAAATGGATTTGATATCAAAATATAATCAGATATAATTTAAATCTTCATCATAATTATTATAGTAATAATATTTTAAAAAGATAAATAGAACATAAGTTGTATTATCTTTATGAATTGAAGTGAACTATTTAAGAATAAGTTTGAATTTGCAGCTATAATTTCTTATTTTTTGAATGAAATTACATTTATTAAACCAGATTAAATAAATTTGAAAGTAAGAATTAGTTGATATGTAAGTATTAATATATTGTTTTGTTTAAGATAATAGTAAAATATTTAGTATTAGTATAGACTTTTAAAAAGAAATATAATAGATAATGAATAGATATAATATTATAATTTAGAATATATTAAATAAAAGAAATATAATTAAATAAAGATATAATAGAAGAGAAAGTAGAAACAATTTTGCTAATCAATTAGTTTTATCATTATATAGATCATTAGAATAAATAGTAACTTTATAAATTATAGAATAATTTAATAAATGTTTTTTTATAATTTTAAAAAAAATAACTCAATAAAAAAGAATTTTAAATATAAGAGATAGGTAATTAAATGCATATATTCTAAGTATATAATTGCATATATAAATAAAAGCTAAGTTATCAGTATTAATGATAATGAAAGATGAAGATAGAAAAATTAAAAAAGACAAATAAGAAAAATGTTAGTAAAGTTAGTCTAAATAGTTAAAATAGCAGTTAAAAATCTTATATTTAAAAAGTTATATATCAGATAAAAAGCTAAACTTAAATATGAAAATGCTAGAATAAAAATAAATTTATAGAAGCTATCTATATAAAAAATAAGAATTTTTTCATTTTGAAATAAATGGTAATAATTAATTAAAGAGAAACTAATATTATTATCAGTAGTGCAAAAATGGAGTTCTAGGGTCAAAATCTGAAATTATATTCAAAAAGATTCCCAGCCATATTTTCAAAGCCTTCTAGCTATAAGAATCCTCTATTGAATTTAAAACTCTAGTCCAAATTTGAGCGTTTCTCACTATCCAAATATTTGATATCAAATTTAGCATTAAATTACCCCCGCAGGATACTAAGAATAAATCCATCTCTTATAGCCTTTATAGCCCAATTTTAATCTTAAATAATATATCAAAAAATTATACCATTCTGTTTGAGTTCAAGATAATGTAAGATTAGCAAAAACTAAAGGTTTGAAGCTAAACTCGTGAAGTCTTTGCAAACCTTCTATGTATACTATTATTTATACTATTCTAGAATTAATTCTAAAGTGGATTCATTATCGTCTAGCATAATTAAATTTTAGTACTCAACTCATATAGGTACTAGAAATTTATGTATATTCATATTCATTTCTAAAAACTCTAGACTATATTCTAGTATATCATTAATTTTTTAATATTCAAAAAACTATTCTAAAGACAATTTATCCTTAAAAACTCTGAGACAAAAAAATAGT